AAACCAACCATTTTGGCGGGACCAGCCTTTTTGAGCTGGTTTGCCGCCCCTCCACAGATCAGATTGCTCGTCATCAAGGGTTAGGACAATAATAGTACCTGACCGTGGAATCCACATCATCTATTTGTTTCTAATTTATAATCATATTTCATTCGTCTAACCTCAACATGTAGGTTCTTAGAGATTGAACGGTGATTTGCATCTCCGAATATTAAAGGGACATCCAGAAGCTATATATACATAAACAAGATGGAAAGGACATGGCATCTCATATGCTGGAGGGACGACCATCGAGAATCCATTCCCATTTTCCAGCCAGCACTTGCATGTGCATAGGTTCTCGGGCTCTCAGTTTCTCACTTCCTTTGTTCCTGGATCTTTCGTCACTGGGGGTCTTGACCATTTTAGTGGTAAACAAAAAAATCGACTTTTTTTTGGCCATCCACTTGTTCGGAAGTGAGCTTAGTTTTGATCACTGTGGAAGAATTGGAAATTACAGTAGGATCGAGGAATGGTTGCGGCCATTGGATCATAATTTGTGTTTGTAGGTTGTGTGATTTTTGCCATGGTTCAAACTTTGGGGATTTTAATTTGGATCAGGCAGGTTTCCTCATGGTTGAATTTGAGGGATTTGTTTGTGTTTTGGAAATCGATTCTCCAGAATTGTTGCAGGATTTCTTGGTTCAGGTATGGTGTTTCGTGAGTCAACGAAGCAGTCGCTGGTTGGAAGCTGGGTTGGAGGCCCTTGGGAGCAGCCAATTCGGGCGAGGCAACTTGCCATCGCCCTTTGGAAACATGTGCAGCTCCCCTTCCCACATTGTCACTCTAAGGTGTTTCAGATTCTGGCAACCATATTTTGTAATTATCATTTAGACACATCGTCACATCGCACAAATCCACAACTGAACACATGCGCTGCTTGAATTCTCTCTAAAGTATGTGGAAAGGGTCACATTGTGTACACCCTCCCTTTTTATATCTTCGGAGGGGTGCACCTCCCCGCCCAAGGAAAAACAGCCCCACAAAAGGGAACCCAGATGGGATTCACCCTGCCCACTTGAGTCAGTTGGATATTCGCTTGGGGTCCCTCAAAACCCCGGTGGCTTCCTGTGAGTTTCAACCAAGGTTAGCTCCCGATTGATTTAGAGCCTTCAAACAACCTGGTTGTGAGACCCCCCACCTCCAGGGGTGTCTTGAGTCGGGAGCGGGTCGTGCATTGAAAGCCCCCTCTGGGAAAAGCGGTTCTGCAAGCCAACGAAAGATGTGCCGCACTGTTGCAACAAATTTCGTCCTTTACCTTTACCTGGGATTGCCATCGGGGAAAACCACCAAAAACTATATATTTCCCACTGAATGGGAAGAGTTCCCCATAGGCGTTTAGGGGCCGACTAGGCATATTAATCCGAGACCCCAGTGCCATCCTTTGGACAAGCCGACTTCATGCGCCACCGTTCCTGCAGGCGCCTGCGACGCGGGCCAGCGCCTCAGCGCCGCACCTGGGCCAGGGTTCTCAGGGTCGTTAAAGGACACACCCAGAAATCATATGGCGCATGTCGAAACGAAATCGAACAGCTGAGTGTAAATTTACTCGTTACCCCCACGCGGGTTTCCCGTCTTCTATTGGTAACCCAGTATGGATTGAGGATGTAACTTAGGGATGTCCCCCCAAATTTGAACAACGCAGCCCATCTTTGGAAGCCAATGGATTTAAAGGGTTGGCTTTCATATGTTCGCCCCTATGAAGATCCGCCGAGAAGTCAGATGAGGGCACGGTAGTGCAATCCTCCCTTTGAAGTCCTTTCATATGTCATATGCGGTTGCGAAGAGTAGTCGATACAAGCGGAGATCCTTGCTCCAAGACTTGGACAGCACTGCATTTCTGCTGCGAAGCACAAACCACGAACAGCGTGAGAACCATGATAAAGTTACACCACTTTGCCACGAACATGTTTTTGTCCGCCCTGCCGTTTGGTTTTCTATTTGGGTGTGGCTCAAAATTGAACAACTTGGGTTACGCAGGTTCTAGGCCCTTCCATTTGCCAAGGTGCCATGTTGGTACAGTTTTTGACCCACTGCCAGTTGGCTGGTTGCAACTGGTGCCTTGGGAGCTTCTGGAACATGGGGGCCTTGAATCAAGCCAGGTATGAATCAACCCGGGGTCTCAGTGTCCAGACTTGTTGCGACTTTTGGGGTTGATGTATCTCCTGGTAAAGCAAGCATAGAAATCATAGAATTTGGGCCGTGGTTGCTTTGAAAGGCAAAAGAGCTTCCAGAGGTTTTCTGTGCCGTTGTTTTTGGGAGGGTGTCATATCCGCCGGCTCGCTCAGATCCCCGTGACTGTGACCCGGCAGGCCGGGAGCTGGATTGGGACTCGACAAAATCCCCGGTCGCAAACCGTGGCGCCTGTTCTTCTGTTTTGTTGGCGACGGGGGGGGGAAGGGTGCTTTTTTGCCTAGCCCTGGCACAGGGCTAACCCTGCCAGGTGGTTGGTTGCTTGGTTGCTGGGTTGCTGGGTTGCTGGGTTGCTGGGTTGCTGGGTTGCCGGGTTTCTGGGTTGCTGGGTTGCTGGGTTGCTTGGTTGCTTGCTTGGTTGCTTGGTTGGTTGGTTGGTTGGTTGCTTGGTTGCTGGGTTGCTGGGTTGCTGGGTTGCTTGGTTGGGTGGTTGCTTGGTTGGTTGGTTGGTTGGTTGGTTGGTTGCTTGGTTGCTGTGCTGCTGGGTTGCTGGGTTGCTTGGTTGCTTGGTTGCTTGGTTGGTTGGTTGGTTGGTTTTTTGGTTAGTTGGTTGGTTGGTTGGTTGCTTGGTTGCTTGGTTGCTTGGTTGCTTGGTTGCTGGGTTGCTGGGTTGCTTGGTTGCTTGGTTGCTTGGTTGCTTGGTTGCTTGGTTGCTTGGTTGCTGGGTTGCTTGGTTGCTTGGTTGCTTGCTGGGTTGCTGGGTTGCTTGGTTGCTTGGTTGCTTGGTTGCTTGGTTGGTTGGTTGGTGGCTTGGTTGCTTGGTTGGTTGGTTGGCGCCTCGGCAGGACGAAGGTTTGGGATGGGGGTATTTTCGGGGTAGTCCGTTTGGGGTAGGTTCAGGCCGGGCATCGTTTTCAACATCCTCAGCATCACCAGGCTTTGGTTGGCTGGGTTTAGGGGGGGGTTCAGGTTGGCTCAGGCTTGGCTCCGGGTGGGTTTTTCACCCTAAACAGCCCAAAACCCATCCGAGACCAACCCCAAGAAGCCCCACCATAAACCAGCACTAAGCCATCTACCTCAAGCACAGCCACCCCAAAAATTGCTCTCAACAGGCCTGGAACCCACCCGGAGCCAAGCCTGAGCCAACCTGAACCCCCCTCTAAACCTAGCCAACCAAAGCCTAGTGATGCTGAGGATGTTGAAAACGATGCTGAGGATCTTGAAACGATGCCAGGCCTGAACCTACCCCAAACGGACTACCCTAAACCTACCCCAAACGTGTCCGTTAGTGTCTCCTTTCGTGCACGCCAGGCTGTGACAGGGTTGGGCTAATGCCAGGGCTGTGCCAAAAAAAAACTCAGACAGGGTCCCTTGCATTTGCAAGGGCCCTTCTCCACCCAGGGCATTTCCAGTTCGTTTCTTTCCGGTAGGTTTCCTTTTATCAATTCCATCTCTGTTTCCCTCCTCGCTCGGCTCCCAGACCAATCAGCACATCAGCGCTGGTGCTGGCTGCTCACGTTTTACCCATAGCGTGTGGCTTTTCCCGACGGAAGCCACGAGATTGAAAGGCGGTTCCCTGTTTGCACAGGGTCCCTTTTTGGCTTTAAGGATTAAGAGTCATTGAATGGTGGTTCCCTGTCAGGGTGCCCTTAAGGCTTTAAGGATACATTAGGTAAGAGTCGCCACGAGCCGATTCAAGAAGAACCCCCTCTGCGGATGGCTGCGAAATCCATTTCGCACCACTTTGAAACCATGGTTGAATCAATTTTTGTGTTGGTATGTACAGGGGAATCATTTTCTTAGGGTTTCTTAGGTGGTGGCTTTGAAACAACGGGAATCAATTTATTTGTTGCTATTTACAGGGGAATCATCCTTCCCTGGTTTGTTGGGTGGTGCCGGATTTCGTCCCTCCACAGTAGGGAGCCCAGAATTCGGATCCACTCAGGGGCAAACCCACGATAATGTGAGCAGGTCGTTAAAGGGTGGGTTCCCCTGGGCAGTATTGCCCCCCTGCTCCTTCAGGAGAAATCCCGCCCAAAGAGCCGCGGGGAAGAGGCAGGAAATCGTTTTTCGCCAAACAAACCGATGTGTTTTGTTGTTGTTCCCCGCGTTCGTTTGTGCATAGCTTAAACTCGGGCCTTCAGTGGTGCCCCGTTTCTTGTTCTTTATTATGTCTTTCTTTAATTATTTGTTTACTTCTTTATTTCTTTATTTTTGTTCTTTCTTTCTTTCTTTCTTTCTTTCTTTCTTTCTTTCTTTCTTTCTTGTTTTTATGAGGGATGTCCCGTTAATACCAACCATCGAACAACAATGCGGCCCCTGTTGTTCTTCATGGAAATTGGCAGGTGTTCTTTGCGGAAAGCGTCTTTCCCAGGGTACCTTGGACGTGGGTTTGTTTCGGGGCTTCCAGGAAAGTGTCCAAACTCCTCTCAGATTTCAGTCGGAGTGGAGGGAGGGTAAACAGAAGAAAAACAACAACAACCAAGCAAATCGTCGTGCAAGTGCTAGTGAGACGAAACATGAGATGTCCCTAAGCTGGGAACCACTAAACATGAAATCAAGCCCAGTGCTGGGTTCAGTAAAAAAATGATCAAGCACAAGGCTCCACTTCTAACCTTTTGGTTGTTCGGATGGCCTGGTTTCAGGGGTGCTGAGCAGCTGGGTTCCCCGCATGTCCCGAAGCTGCGTTCTCGGGAGTTACGGGCTTGAGTGCTAGTTGGATCTTTAGACTTTATTTTTTTGGTCAAATCAAGGTGGGTTTTCCACTAAACCCCCAAGAAGTCAAACTTTTTGCAGGGGGATCAACGGCAACCAAGTCGGGAGTTGCCAGACTTTGCCTCTTGGCCCAAGCTCTGCCACGAGTGGCTCAAGGCCACTTTGGCGAAGGGGTGCCATGGTGAAGGAAAAGCGCCCGCCCTTGAAGAGTGGGCCGAAGCCACTTCACCAGCAGGCGGGTTTTGGCGTCAAAGCCGATTCGGGTGGAAGGTTAGTGGGGTAGGGGACAATCCCCTTGCCAGAATAGAATGCAGTGCCTTCTAGTCGCCTTTTTGATTTTTGAAGCAGGGTTCTGGGATCGATGTTGAGACCGGGTTTTGAGTGCTCAGGTGGAAGCAGAGAAGGAAGCAACGAAGAGGAGGTGCGAATTGCAGGGCAGGCAGTGGAGCGGCAAGATGGCCCAGGGAAGGGTCGCCATGATTGAGATCCGGCACTACCAACGCAGCACCGAGCTGCTGATTCCCAAGAACCGCTTCCACAGAGCGGTCAAGGACATTTGCAAGCAGGTCTCCGAAAAGAAGTACCATGGTTGATGTTGGGAAAGTTGTTTACATTTTTGCTTATTCTGGTTTAGTGGTTGAAATCCAACCACTGAACTGCTAATTTTGTTTAAATGTTTGCTCCCCTTCCCACGTCAACCCAGGTACCAGGAGTGGGAGCAGAGAAGGCGAGAAGGTGTGGAGGAGAAAGACCACTGGCAGCCCCCCCAGCTCTACCGCATGGAGAGTCAGGCGCTCCTGGCGCTGCAGGAAGCCGCGGAGTGTTTGGTCACGGCCATGATGGACGAGTGCAACGCCGCGGCCGTGCACGCCAAGCGGGTCACGGTGATGCCCAAGGACCTGATGCTGATTCGCCGGCTGAATGGCACCTGGGTCTGGAGCAGCTGAGAGTCTGAGAGCTGCGCTCCCTGGATGGTTGCGAAATCCATTTCGCATCACTTTGAAACCATGGTGGAAACCAGTATTTGTTGGTATTTACAGGGGAATCATCATTTTAGGGGTTCTTAGGTGGTGCGAAATGGATTTCGTCCACCCACAGTAGGGGCCTCCAGGGGCTCCAATTGCATGCCATGTCCAGCTGCGCTATGGAACGCTTCTCTGTCCATGGTGTTCATGAGCCCTGGAATGTAAATAGTTGAGAAAGGGGCTCAAGGTTGCTTGCATTCGTCTGCAAGTGTGACCAGTGTCAATGCACAAGGGCCTCGGACAGCCTCGCTATGTGGAACAAAGCTTTGCCTTTGGTCTGTCCATTTGGGGATGTCTGGGGCATTGAAGAAACTCTGGATCGTTTGAGAGTTGCACAGGCTGCCAACCCCTCCAAGTCAACTACCAAAACAACGGTGCGCGGTTTCCCGTGTCAAGGGTTGACATGCCCAACCATTGTTTGCCAAGGGGATCCCTGAAGAAATTTGGGAAGGTGCCGCTTGAATTTCCCGCTGGAAATTCCGGAAGTTGGGATCGGTGAGTTGGGCCTTCCAAGTTGCTCCTGTCAAGCGGGCAGCAAACTGCGGAGAGCTGCCACACAGGCTGTAGGGGGTACCAGTGGGCGGGCACTTAATTTCGCCATGAAGTCAGGAACCTCATGTGGATCACTTCAAGACGAGACTTATCTTCCAGGCACACCCCAACCCCTAATCAACAGGGAGAGGGGGTCAGGTATATAAAAGGGTGACTTTTTCAACATAATGTGGGTCTGTCTTTCTTTGAGGGCACCTTTTCGCGCGGCCGGTTTTTTCGGCAACCAAAAGGACACCAGTACCGTTTCGGGGTTCCGAAATCCGGCTTTTTCCCGAGCCCCTCGAATTGCTCGGTCGAACCGTTCAGGAAAAAGCCCGCGCCGGTAGAGAGGAGGCCTGTTCGAAAAGGTTGTGGATGGACGAAATCCTGCAGATATGTGTTTTGTTGGGGGAGGGGAACCCCGTTTTTTCTTTTTCTCCGCAAGGTTTAAAGGGTCTTGCATACCACATGTCTTGACAAAGTCCCCCTCTTTTGGCACATACAAAGTGAGATCTTCCAGGGACACTCCGCTCCAAACATGGGGCCCTGGTCCATTTCATCCACCCGGCGACTCGGAGACTCGGCACCGGCGTTGCTCAGGGGCATTCGGGTTCCCCTGGAACATGATCAAGCCCAAGGGTTCCCCCTTTTTGTTTTTTGTTGGGCAGGGAAGAAGCCTCTGAAAGGGGGTGTAAGCGTCCTGAAAGGCACCAGAGAGCGGATTCGGCTTGTGAAAAAACTTCGGCGAACCTTTGCGACCAAGACCCGATTCTTAGTTGAGGTCTTTGGGGGCCAAAAGGGCCCTCATAAGGTGTTGGCATCCTAGGGTTTGCCATCCAGTGTTTTCTCAGTCGAGACTTGACCTGCGTTGTTATCGCCTTTGAGTCAAAGTCGACGGCTGCACCTGTTACCCTTTAATCTGATCGTAAGGGAAGTTCTTCCCACTTCTTGAGTTCATGCACTTTATACTTCTTGGGAAGACCATGTTAGTGGCAACAAAAAGTGCGGAACACAAACTCACATTTGGCTATCCTGTCAAACCAGTGTTTGGAGGTTGATGTCCCCTAAAGCTCTCTTCTGATTTGACTTGGCTTGGAGGATGGCTTCTCTGAACGAAGCGCAATACCAAAATGCCGTGCTTTCCTCTTGGCCCCCTCTTTGAAAGCAACCCGAAAAAGCTACTTTCTCAAAATTAAAGTGACGCCCATCTTCAGTCATGGTAAGCCAAGCCTGGGGCCTAGTTACCCCTCCGGGGTCCCCCTAAGGCCTTAGTGAGGGGTTGTCCCAAACAAGCCTCATGGACGCTTGCTAAAGCCATGCCCTGATCCCAAGAACGGGGGAGGGCTTGTGTTTGCATGATATCCCTTATGGTCACAGATTGGTTGGCATTGTCTTCCGTCGTGCCCTTCAGCACAAAAGCCCAGCCTGGATTGAGTTGATCGAATGCCAGGAGAAGGCTCAGGAACGCGAGGCGCGGGAATCCGGGAAATGGCGTTGCACATGGCGAAGTTTGCTTGGGAATTGATTATGTGCCATGGTCAAGAGACTGGTTCCTTTGTGTGGGGTTGAAAGGGATAGTCATCCACTTGGAATTATTGTTAACCATGCAAATGATTCCTGTTAAGGGAACCGTGACCATTGGCCATAATTATACGGATGCTTTACCATGCAAAATAACATCATGGTGAGCATAGTAACGGGTTGTATATGATTGACACCGAGAACTACGGGCACAGGTGATTTGAGTTGTACGTAGCCTGTAGCTAGGTCCCCCAGTAGTACCCTTTTACCCTTTTTTTGGGGGGAGGGTTTCCCTACTAAAATAGACTCGGAAAAAAAGGTACCCTTATTCCATCCTCTCTACTGGAGGACCTAGGTAGGGTTCCTTGGCAATCATTTGGAGGCCTTGATCTGTGCAGGAAAAGGCGGGCGACCGGCAGAAGGAGGACTTGCGTTGGGGCAAGCGGTCGGGGTCCTTTATCCCTCGTAGCAATCAAGCTCATGGGTTGCTTGCAAAGTGTGGCAAAGTGCGATTGGCCAGTCGAGCTTGTTGGTTTCTTCAAGCGAGCCAAGCACCCTTTTCAAAGTCCAGTCTCTCAGACGGCGGCAGGAGAAGAGTGCTGAGGACCTGATGGGCGACGACATCAATGAGTTCTTGGGGGTGACTTGGCGACATACAAGGGATTCTTTTCTGGGGTCTCGTCAATACTTAGTGTGTTAGGCTGTGTATGAATCGGAACAGACCTGAGCGTTTCCGCGTATCGTTTTTTTTTTTTTGGTGGACCAAGATGTTCCCGTTCAAGAAACTGAACTGCTGGGGTCAACCAAGTGGGATCCAGACTCGCAGGCGACCACCGACCTATGTGTTTGAGAGATGCTGTCATGTGTCAAATCAGGGTACCGCCCCAAAAGGTGTTTCATTGTGTTAGCTTCCTTTCAATCCAATCTATGAATTCCCTCAGCAGAGATTCATACCTTTCTCTATGGTTACAATAAACGTTTGGCCTGTTTGGGCCGAAACAGTGGTCTACATGTTGTGATTGTTTCAGGTTCCTTTGCGCTGTACCGGGACGGATCTGGCATTTTGCCCCACGCTTTGAATCACCCTCTTGTATGGAACCAAGCCTGGTGAATGTGACGCTCCAGTCTGCGTTGTTTCTGTGAGGTTGGCGCATGCAACATTCGATGTGCGTGTACGCCGCCCCTCGTGAAAAGCAACGTGCTGAAAGGGAATGATTTTGTGCAGAACGAGCACAAAGCCAACTTGCAAAGCAAGTCGTGAAGACCCCCCCAATCAAAAGTTTTTTTTTTTTTTTTTTTTTTTTTAAGAAGCACTTACATGTTGGCAGCTCTGCTATGTTGCAGGGTGGGGCTCTTGTTCCGCCTTTTGTGGGAATCTAACCTGCCCGAACCCGGGGGGGGGGGGGTCATTTTTTCAAGAAGGTAGTCCAAAAACGAACAATGCTGGTGATTGTTTTGATGTATGCCAAAAGAAAGCCGCTTGCGCGCCGTTGATCAGGTTTATTCAGAAGAGGAGCCCTGCATGCCACCATGAAACACGCACAAAGAAGTGGTATTCGCGTGTAAAGCCGGCTGTTCTGTGCAGCTCGCTAGACATGAGCAGAAGCAACATCAGAGGTGAACACACCCAAACAACATGTGAGCAACGGACAGTACTGCGGAATTTGTGTGTTTCCCTATCGTGCTTTGCAGGTTGATTAGCTTCGACGTTGGGCGTTTTTGTTTTCCGATCGCTTTCTCGGCAACTCTCACCGGTGTTCTTTTTTTCTATATGTATTGATAGTCAGTTTCAGCATTTGTTGGGGCAATCCAGGTCAGGAACTGAGACACTGGTAAGTTTGCCCAGGGTGATGCGTTTTTCCCAGAAGGCCAAAGCCCAGGAGAGCGGAAAGCGGCGGTTTCTTTAGCAAAAAAGGATTGGACAACAGGGCGGGGCTGCTGCTTGTTTTTCCAAGGGAGTCCCCTTCAGATCAGAAAGGGTGACTTCCGCAACCATGGTTTGGCGTGCCATGCAGTGCTGAACACATGATGCTCGCGGTCTCGGGAGGTTATCAAAGTCAAGAGTTGGGGTTGATCCATATTCCTAGCCCCCAAATGACCGTTTAGCGAGGAAAATCCAGTTTTTAGTGGTTCTCCCCCATGGCCATCCCATGTAAAGGACCTTTCGATCGACCCCCAGTTGTTTCCAAGAGCCCACTGGGGCGGCTCGGCCTGAGAACTGCAAAATAGGGTGAACGTAGATGTGCAATTCTCCGCCGGTAAGCACAAGGGGTGACTGAGCCAAAATGTGTTTGTTTCGAAATAGGGGAGGTCCCAACATGTGGGTTTTCCTGCGGTTTCCCTTTAACCAAGCCCAAACAGAGTGCCCTCAAAAAAGGACACACCCAAATAGGTTGGTTTTAGTGCCATCGACCAAGTCAGTTGTGGGGCCACTCGCGCCAGCGGTTCTGCATCTGAGATGGACACAGGGGAGGCGGAGCAAGTGCTTGCAGCCCTGCAGGCGAAGCTGCGAGTCGGGAAGCGACTAGTCCTTAGTTGTTGAGTGGCTCCCTGTTTCCCCTCTTTTTTTTGGGTGGCTGCCCCACTAAACATGGTCTTCCCCAAAAAGGGTTCCCATTTTTTCCAGGGTCACTGAAGAACTGAGAGTCGGATCGAACGGGAACGGTATGTTCAAGCTGGGAGCGATTTGGCCCACCGAGATTTTCAGATACGTCGATGCCGTCGAGGTATCATGAATAAACCCCTTGAAAAAGTCTAGGGGTACTTTCCCCATTCTTTCCATGGATCATTCTTTCTTGAAAGCCGTTGGAAACCCGCAAACGGCGGGATGTTGCAAAGAATGGTTGAAAAAATCGGGAATTCACCCCTAGAATAAGGGGAACTGCGTGACAAGCCTAGTTCCCCGGCTTCTTGTTTTGTGACAGCGTTGCCTCCTACAAATCTGCTTTCGGAAAGGTGCCCTCCAGAACCCGCCGTAGGAAACGAGTCCCCCGGTTTTTTTTTCTCCAAAGGCCCAACTTTGCCACTTCTGGCGGAAGGGGATGGCAACCAGAAGACTCCATGGGGTGCCCCACAGGTCGGGGGGCTTTTGAGAGGCTTAAAAAACCTGCGATGGAGCAACAGCTGGGCAACATCTCATTTTCAATTCGTGGGTGAATTGGATACGGGAAGACCACCCGAAGTTCAACTTAAGAGCGGGGAGGCCCAGTGAAATCTCAGGGTCTGCCTTTTCCAGGAAGCCCAGACCAAATGATTTCATCGCCGGATGAGTCCGCCATGGGTATTGCAGGCTGGGCCTTGCCTGGTAAATTGGACATGGGTTGCCATCACCGTCCGCACCAATCCACACACTACCAGAGGAGGCTCACCTTCAGGAGCCCCAAAGGTGACGTAGGTGTTGGATTTCTTGGGGTGTTTGGGACTGCCCCATCCTGAATGAACGAGTCTTAGACTCGTAGGCAGGTCGCATCATTGGGGTGTTGCTTTTTGATGCTGCCCATTTTTTGCTTAAAGAAAGCCAGCCTTCTCTTCTTTTCCTTTTTTTTTGGGGGGGGAGGTCCCCTATTTTAATGTACACCTCTAGGGGTAACTTCTCCATTCTTTCCAGGGATCCTTCTTTCTAGAAAACCACCAAAAACCCTGGGGAAATGGATCCGGTTTTTGAAAAGAACGATGGCTGAAAAGAATGGAAATGGGATCAACCCCTAGAATAAGGGAAACCAGCCATTTGTCTTTGTTTTTTTTGGGGGTGTCCCCTGTTTCAATGTCCACCGGGTCGTTTGAGTCAGGCCGTTGAGACTTTCACTGGCCACTGGCGACGGGTTCGCTGCCGGGGGGGGTCTTCGGCCAGGCCATGCTGGCCGAGAAGGAGCAGCTGCATCAGCAGCTGCTGAGCGAGCAGGCCATGGTTGTAGAGAAGAAATGGGGAGTCCCTAACGTCCAAACCACCAAACCACCAATGATCGAGTGGGAAGCTGAGCAGGCCGTGGTGGTTGTTGGGATATACATGTTAGAACCATTTTTGGCTATAGTTCTGGTTGAGTGGTTGAAATCCAAGTCCACTGAACTGCTAAAATTTGAGAATTGTTGCTCCCCTTCCAACGTCAACCAAGAGGCGCAACCAACGAGGCCACTTGGATGACCACCCCATGTCTCCAAATGGGAGGCCCCCCCCAGGCAAAGACGACTGTGTTCCGATCGCAACATTTGCATAGAGCCGTCCAGGTGAGGCATCATCACCTGGTATCATCACCTGGTCTACTTTTCAAAGAGTTGTGGCACGTCTCGTTTTACACCGGCAGGCGATCTGAGTTTACATTTGAATCTTGTCTAAATCACATTTGCCGAATTGGCAACCTCGAGATGTGAAAGGGGACATCGGGGAGCTTCTGTTCTCATGCTTTCGGGGCTGAATTGGGGAACCTTGCGTGGGCATGACTTACATGATCTGGATTTGTGTCCATCAACCATTTTGAGAGGAGTCTCCATAACACATCGATGTTTTTGGCGTTTCTTTTAAGGGTACCCTTTGCAGGTTGATGTAGGGGAAGTTAACAGGACAACCATAACACACACACACACACCTGTTCGAATCCTTGTGCCAGAGCAACCGCTCAGGCGGAAGCTGAGCGACGCCTAAAAGCACTGAGGGAGATGGGGGCGGCGGAGTGAGGCCAACGCTCAAGGCACCCCCCCCGGGTTCCGATGGCAAAGGGCCACTCGAATCAAGCCAGCGGTTTCGCCATAGTTCCTTCGCCATTTTCAGCTTGTGGTATTTCAATTGAAGGTTCCCTGGGTTGCTATACAGGAACATGGAATCACCGGGGAGTCATGTTTGTGTTTGAGGGCGCTCCACATCCTTCAAGATGGCCGTTGTTTTCAATTCCAATGGCTTCCCTTGGTGGGCAAATGGAAGAGTCATGCAATGTCATGCATAACCAAGGGGCTCTTACGTTCCACTTGCAGGCTACACTGTTCTACTCGAGTCCAAGGAAAAATGCAAATGAGCTCCGGGCGCGTGAAGGCTCGTCGCCTGCTAATTCCGATTGAGTTCCACTTGCTTCTGTATAGCTTGCTGGGAACGAGGTACAACTTGACAGCAGTCGCTCGGGGCTTCTTTCCTTCACAACGTCGGAGTTGAGATGTTTGTTCCCTTGCGCGCTGAATGGATAGGGAGTCCAAGACGGGATCAGCTGCCAGGAGTCTTGTGCATCGTTGGGAAACCCTAGAGTTATCATATATATATATATATGGCCAGGATGTAATTGAGAGCCAGCTTCAAAATGGTTGTGGACATGAATCCCCACATCAACGATGCCCACCTTAAGGTCCTTTAGCTAAACATCATGCCCATCAGTTTGCTGCGAAGGCAACATGCTCGATGGGTCACGCAAGCCTTGCACGCCATCGGCTATGCTTCACTGCGCCGAGCCGGTTACTAAATCTGATTTCCGTGCTTCCGTCGCGCACAAGGGAAGCAGCGGCAGAGGGCGGAATTCGAAAAAAGAAAGTCCTCACCGAACAGCCCCGGTTTTGCTCACAAGAATTGGGCACGGTTTTTTGGTTTGATCAACTGGGTCGAGGGTCTCCTTCCTTTTTTGGAGGTTTTAAAGGAAGCCAAGGGAAACAATCAGAGACAAACCCAACTGGGCTCCCTTTGGATGCTACACGCGTTCCTGTCTTTGCAACGTTTAAGAAGCCACTGGAATATCCAGGCAGTACCACAGCACCTAATACCCCCATTGGCCATGGTTCTACTGTTTCTACAGCCTGGCTTCATTAGATTTATAGCAACGGACATGACATTTGAGCCTTTATTTGCCTGTTGGTAGATGTGTTTTAGGCGCTGCTCCTGTGTTTTGTCAGTTTGCTGCAGGTTGTCCTAGGGTTGGTGTCTTAGAGTCTGGCATGCAAGCCATCGGTTGAAGCACAACCACGTGACGTTGTTGGCAAGTGGTTTCTGTGTTGCTGTTTTGCGTGGCGCTTCCATTCCAGTGGACGCTCACTCCAAAGAATGTCAACATAGCACTACCCGGAAAGGGGGATAAAGGACATGTGCCAAAGGAGCTTCCTAGGAGGCTTGCCCACTTTGTTGCTCCATTCGAGTCGCAAGAAATTGGAAAAGCAGCTGACTTAGGGTTCCCCCACGGTCCACATAAACCTGCGGGGTGCTTGATATCCCCGCCTAAAATCTAATCATGGAGGGCTTGCTTGCTGCAGTGGCTGTTTTGGCTTCACTTGGACATGTGTGGCTCTTGGCGTGTGGCGGTGAAGTCTTTGTCCACATCCCAACCCCCTTAAAAACGGAATTGGGGGAGGGTGACCCCTGGAATTCTATTTATAGTTCCATTTCCTTTGTAAGGTGCTGGAATTGTGGACCCCCCACCCCCCTCCCCCTTATGGTAGGGGGGAGGTTTCCACAGTCCGTGCCTCTTGCCTGTCGCGCGCGGCATTCTTTGCAGCCTCAGCTTTCCAGAGTCCAGAGTCCAGACGGAGAAGCACACGGCCAGCCGCCCGAGCCGTATTTGACGAGTCCCAAGAGACGCCTTTGAAGAGATAGGCTGACATACCAGAAAACAGCGCAACTGTCGACCGACACAAGCCGCGCAAGGCAGGCCTATCACCTGCATCAAAAGAGAAACGGATGGATAGTTTGATCTCTCCAGGGTTGTTCAGTGGAACCCTTTTTTCTGGTTTGGTGGGGAAACCCCACAATGATCAACCACAAAAAGGGGTGTCCTTTTGTTCCAGCGTCAGGCTGGAAATTTGCTTGATTCTGGACCCCTTATGTGACGCACGGGCTTAACGCCCCCATTGGCCGCGAGCTATTTGTGGGATCACGCATGTATCAGGCATGGGCGCCAGCCGCAGGACTGGTGAGGTCTCAGGTTTAACCCTTCGGTGGTATGGATAGGTGGGGATTTGAACCCATTCACTTCTCAGGTTATCCTTGGTCGGTGGTTTGGATTGGAATTTGGATTGAACCTTTGGTTCTTGTTGAAAGTAAATGGGGAACCCCTAGCCTCCAAAGCACCAATCCAAACCACCAAAGAGAGGGAAACTGTGAGGTGTGAAAAAAAGTCGTTGCTGGTTCAAGCATATCACCGTGGTTTCCTAAGTTTCGGTGGGCAAAGCAGAGTTGCTTGTTTCATCAGGGCACGCATCGCAACACAAAGGAAACCATGGCGGATGAAATCTGCGGTTTGCTTCCCAGAATCTCCATCTGGGATTCAACCCCCTTTGCTCCCCAAAATAAAACACGTTAAGGTCATTAGAAGGCGCCTTGGTTCCCCAGTGTCCAACCCACTTTCAATGCATGTGTATTCGCATGGATAAGTAGCTAAATAAATGAATCGATAGATGGATGGATGGATAGAATGGATAGATGGATAGATAAGTACATAGATGTATGACTTTTTTGGGCAGGTTGGCATCATCAAGCCTTTGGGGTCTCACACACGCGCACCAGAACGCCTTACCCTGGAGGACCACGCTTGCGGCTTGCTGCTCTCGCCGCGGTGGCCACTGCAGGGGCACCGAGAAAGGGCTTTGGAGCCTGTCATGTGGGTGTGTTTTCTTTGAAGGTACATGTTGGATTTGGTTGCAACCCGGAAATCGAAAGGAAGCCCAGAATCCCCCCCCCCATTTTAGCACATATCCATGTTGTCTTGCTTGACAGTTCGCGAGGAAGAAAATGGCCTCCTGCTTGGCTTCCATCCGTTAGCCTGATTCATGGCGAGCTCACACCTGGTGGAACTTGTGTGAATTTTGTTTGCGCAAGGGTCTTTATTCGCAGAGTTCGCCCTTCTTGTGGTTTCAAAGGGGAAGAAAAGGGAAAAACTAACAAGTCGCCATGTTTGGGGGTCCCCAACAGAAGGCACGCCCATGGCACTTCTACCCCGCTGGCCATTCGCTGGACTCGAGGCCTGGCCGCAGGACACGCCCAGCTGGCCCAAGTTTCCTGGGCGCAAGGCGGCTCGGGGTTCGCCAAAGGACGGCACCGGAAGCTGGCTGGGCTGCAAGCATAGGGTCATAGGTGTCTTTTTTGGGTGAGTTTGGTTAAATATGGATGGGTTGCAAGCATAGTTGCGCATAGGTGTGCTTAGGTGAGCCTGGTGAAAAATGGATGGGTTCTGGTTTAGATGGGTCTTGTGCCCCATTCACCAGGGAAACCCCATCTATTTTCCCAAAAGGCCACCTATGCACAGGCCCAGCTGCTCAGTGGCGCCCTTTTTTTGGGGGGGAAGGGTTCCCCTTTAAACTCAACCAACCAAAAGAGGATGCCCATTTTTTCCCATGGCCACTGGGCTGCAAGCTGAGGTGTCCTTTTGCTCGGTTAGTTTGGATAGAAATTGTTGCGTGACTTCCTTTTGAGGGGTAGGGAGCCATAGCATAGAGGTTTGGTTGGAGAGGCTGGTTAGAAATTGATGGTTGGTTTTATGCCCCATATACCAGGCCCATGTTTTGTTCCAAGGGTCACCTGCAAGGCAATCCTGAGATGAAACCTAGCTCAGCGCATCCCTGAAGGTTTTGATGCCGCAATCCTACCGGAAGTCAGGCAACCCTTGACCATGGGGGTTAGCTGGTTGTCCAACCCCTGGGGTCCCAAAACTCAAAAGCCTGGCATAAAGAAGGGCCCTGATCGACATGGGTCCAGGCCATTTGGCTGTAACTTTGCCTCTGGGGTCCATTACAGACCTTTTGGGACTTTGGGGTCAACGGCCATCAGAGTTGGGGTGTTGGGGAATCATGGAAGACAGTCTGCCGGCTTTCAATCCCATGGCTGGGTTTGGCGGGGAGGATCCCAATTCGAACCCCTGGCCGATGAGGGGGGCCTACTAGCGGAGGGGCCTTGGCAACCACAGGCTTCCGATTGATTGGGAAGAGGGACAGTTTTTACGAGAGAAGTCCTCAGTTGTCCAAAGCCGACCTTTTGACCTTTTGGTTTTCCCAAAAGGTTAACCTTTTAGTTCTGGGTCCTTTGGGCAACTGAGAGCCAGACGAGCGCGAGTCCAAGTTAGCTGTGCGCATCATAGGACCCAGCGAATATTGGAGGGCTGGGATCTTGTGCACCAGGTGGTAGGTAGTTTCACCCAGCCTTCGCAGGACTTCATTCACCCCACCAGGATTGTGTCCATCCACTGTATGAACACATTGTGTCTATTTGAGATTTGGTTGGATCTTTGACCTTTAACTTCTAGGCACACGTCTGTTTCCCACAAGCCCATCTCAAAAGCTTGTTGGGCAACTTAAGTTGTTTTCCTTTCAGCTAACCTTTTAGCCCAGGAACCCTTCTCACCACACAGAAAAGCTCCAGAACCATCGCAGTTTTCCCTGCGCAGGTTCAGGTGCTCAACGGCACGTGGCAGTTTGCCTTTCTGGGCGATGTGCCTTTGAGCGCCGGCATCGAAGTTGCCGCCCGGCAAAGATCGCTTGGATCATCGATCCCGGTGGATGCCACAAATATATATATATATATATATATGGTACCCCCCCCCCCAGGGACCTACCTTTTTGATGAATTCACTGGAATTTGCAGTGTTTTCTACCCTTTTTTGGGCTTTGGGGAGAGCAATGAAAAAGAAGCATTTCCAAGGACGTTCTGGAAGCTTCAGGCTTGATTGAAACCGATTTAAACCGATTTAATTTAAATCGGACATGGATTCAAGATTCAAGATTCAAGAATCCAGGCCAAACTTTTCCAGGGATTCTTGAATCCAGGCGTCAATTTAAACCGATTTAAACCGATTTAACTTAAATCGGGCATGGATTCAAGATTCAAGATTCAAGACTCCCTGGAAAAGTTTGGCCTGGATTCTTGAATCTTGAATCTTGAATCCATGCCCGATTTAAGTTAAATCGGTTTAAATCGGTTTAAACCGACGCCTGGATTCAAGAATCCCTGGAAAAGTTTGGCCTGGATTCTTGAATCTTGAATCTTGAATCCATGCCCGATTTAAACTTAACTCGATTTAAATCGGTTTAAATCGAGACCCAAATTCAACATTGCACTTTGCGCGGCTGTACTTTTAGCACAGTGTTGTGCAAGCATCCAAGTCCTGATTATTCATTCAATCTGTTTCAATCTAGGCCCACATTCAAGATTGCAGGTCAAAGTTTTCTAGGGAATCTTGAACCCAGGCTCAACTGAAATTTCAGTCGGTCTCAATGGGTTTCACTCGGGCCTGGACTCGCGTTTGCAAAGAAGACTTGTCTAGAGAATATGGGTTCTTTCCTTATCAAATCCTGTTAAAGCTCATATTGAATTGCAAGTATATATTGGGAAAGGAACTCTATTTAAACTCGCAATCTCAAGTTTGATTACCATTAGGATTCTGACCAAATATTTCCGTATTGAGTCCCAATTAAATCCTGTTCAAGTTCAAATGAGCATTTAGAGAGCGTTCGTTGGTGGAGATGTGAATTGAGTATGAAAAACACTACACAACACTGTGTTTTACGGTGTTTTCTGACCAAGGTAGTGTTAGGACTAGTGAAAGACACAAGTTTGGGACCTTTGGATTCTTTCCTTATGCATTCCACTTAGTATGTTTTATCAAATTCAACCTTATTTCTGATTGAAATTCAATGGAGCTTAAGAAGGACATACTCCAGCCAAAATTGCGATTTAGATTCGAACTTAAATATTGACTGTTTATGTCAAATTAAATGGTACAAACTATTTTCTGTCCAATAGACCATTGTACATTGAAATTCAATCACTTTCAGAACTAGCTAGTCCTAGTTTGGTCCTAGTCCTAGTTGGGAGATCCTTGGTTATAGGCCAAGTATGGTCCCAGCTTACTGAAATACATAGAACGTATAAAGGACATTACAAAGGAAGTTCGTTGTGAATTGTAGTTAATATGTTAGTCAAGTTCTATGCAACTTCTAGCTCAACAATTGAATTAATTTGAAATAAGGAGAATATCCAGTCAGAATTTACATGTTAGGACCAAATATTAAACAGGACTTTTTTTCCACCAGAATGTAGTACTTGACATCCAAATACTATAAGAAGTAGAATTAAATGGTCTAGTCCTAGTTTGGTCCAGATGAGAGATCCTTGGTTCTAGTGTTAGGTTGCTCCCTAGTTGACTGCAACAATTAGAAAATATACAGGACATTGCAGAGGAAGTTATACTTGAAGTTCATTTTTTGTAAGAATCTGAGGTGGGTCGTCTAGTCCTAGTTTGGTCCTAGTCCCAGTTCAGAGATCCTGGGTTCTAGTCTCATTTGGTTCTGGTCCTAGTTGAGAGATCGTTCCTCCCAGTCCTAGATGGGCAATTCATGCACTGGAGAGGCAGCCAAAAGGTAGGTCCCTGGGGGGGGGGGTAGCATATATATGTATATATATATATGCGATGATGAAAAGACCGGTGCCTTTGCTTGGGGTCCAAGTGCAATGATTCCTGTTCAGGGAGCAATGACCATAGGTCATGTAAGGTGTTGTTACCATGGCTACAGGGAAGCCGATTCCAATTCAAGGTAATTTCCTCTCCAAACATGGAGGACCAAGTAGGGCGGATTTGGCCAACTTTGATGCCCAGGTGGATTCGTGCGTTTCATTCCTCAGGGTAGTTACCCTAAACTCAGCTTAGTTTAAAGGGAACCTAAAACGACAACCGCCATTTTGGGGGCGGCCCTTTGACACATGGCTGCGGCTCAAAAACATGTACCAAAAACGGCACCTTGGCAAATGGAACCAAGGACTAAATCCTGTGTAACCCCAGTAGGATATTTTGGAGCCACTTCCACTTTCCCATTTGTGCGTGTTACCCTTTTCAGCTCAGTGTAAATGGAGCCCGAAAGGACAGCCGCCATTTTTGGGGCGCCCCCTTGACACATACCCATTTGTGTGTGTGTGCGTGTGTGTGTTTCGGCGAGCCTCTTTGGAGCGACTCCGCCAGGCGGACGTGGCCACAGATGCGGTGGAAGTGCCCGATGCCTTCGACATGCGCCCAGAGGTGCCTCGCTGTGGCTGCTGGCCCGAGGCCGGGCAAGGGCTTGCTCAACTGTTGGTGGCTTTTTAGCGGTTTGGTTGGTTAGTGGTCGGGTTTTCCACTTAACCCACTAAAAGTCATTCACCGTTAGCGGTGAGGACAGCCCAGGGAAGAGGCGCTTCCGGATTTGTGTTTTTCCGGAAGCTGAATGAACAAACCCTTCTCAAAAGCCCTGGGTCTTACTCCCTGAGTTCCTGGACTTTGATTTTTCTGGGAAAGACAAGTTTAGTGGTACATGGAAAGTTCAGACTATTTTGGGCCCATCATGGCCCATCAACACAGGAAGTGAGGGGGTTGTGGATGGCGAAAGAAGGATGGAGAAAATGGCGTAGTGGCTTATCCTGAAGGGGGTATGTTCCAGGGGTCGGGTGTACATCTTCGGAAGTCGGAAATTGTCTCAAAATCGTGGACCCCTTTTGGGGTGGCGAATTTGAAGGGACAGGCAAAAGGAAAAGCTCCAAAAGCGGATCAGCTTTTTCGGGGAAATCCAGTGACCCCTGTCATCCATTTGCCGAAATGCATCGTGGTGTTTCTTTTTGGTAGTAAACACACTTGCCCAAAGGGAATGGACCTTTTGACTTTGGGTTTCCCCATTTTGGCTTCCCATTTTTCAGTCATGGCCCCAAAAGGTGATCTCGTACTTGCAGGTCCCTAAAGGGCACCTAGTGGTAAATAAAGCAAATCATACTTGTTTGGGCCAATCCACTGGATTGGCAAGTTGATTGCGGAACCCTTGGCCCCACTTGGAGCCATTGACTGTTCAGTTCGCGTTTAGAGGGGTAATCGAATCATCTCAGGGTTTCTTGGGTGGTGCCTAAGGGGATTTCGCCCACCCACAGTATGTCGACTCAGTACACCTAGATGAGATGAAAGCCCCAAGAACTGCTTTGCCGAGTTGAGTACAGAAAAAGAAAGGCCCCTACCTAGTAGTCCAGTCCCTCAGACTAACATGGAAGCTCCCACAAAAACCTCTGTAAATGGAACCCAGTCTTCCATTCCGGGGTCCGTTCGGGAGCTTCCATGGAATCGCCTGGGGCAGGGTAGAACCTGTGGATTGCAAAATCCGCTCGCACGTGAACGGCCGAGACCGCGGAGGCCGAGGCCTGCGAGCTGTGCTGCGGCCGCGGCTTCGGCACCTTTGGCAGCTCTCAGCTCCTCGGCTGAGTCGCTGTGCTTGGCCCCCGGTTTGGTTTGGGGCTCACCTTTTTGTTTGACCCCGGGGGGTCAACAAAAAGGGAAGGGGGGGGGTCAAGAAAAAGGGGGTCAAGAAAATGATGGTTCCTTGGCACAGTCAGGTTTGCAGTTGTAGTGCGGCAATCTTGTCAGCATGGTTTGCTGGGAAGCCACAAGGGAACACTCAACTTTTGGGGTCCCCCTATTTTGACTCATACCTCTGCGGCGCTTCGATTTTGAGTGTGGACCGTTCCCCCATTCTGTTCCCCCATCAATTTGAGACCCGCATGGAGTATATTTGTCGCAGGGCCGTGCTCAAGTTCAATTCTTTTCTGTTGGGATCAACCATCGCCCTAGGCTACCAGTTTGATAGGTGAGTTGCCCTTTTGTGTGTGATGTGGAAGCAGTCAAAGTGTCAAGCCAAAAATGCAACCGTTGTGCACAAGTGCTGGCCAAGGCTAAACCGAGGAAACCGCAATTGCATGTTTAGAACCGAGTGACGTGATGGTTTGCAGCAAACCCAATTTTCTTTTTCACGGGGCACCTGCGAAGAATTCTGTTGATACTTATTTGGCCGTTTGCTCCAAGGGGTGTCGGCTATACAGCCACTATAAGGCCACTGAGGGGTACATACCCCAACTTGCTCTTGTGAACGAGGCCAAACATCCAGCTGGCCACAGCTCCCGCGCTCCCGGTGCCATGGACATTCAAAGTCCCCTCAAATTTTCGGTACCCTGTGTACCAGGCATATGTTTTTGGGATCCCCCCAGTTGAAGCACACCTCGGTATCCTGCTTATCAGCCACATTTCTGGGATCCCCCCCCATTTTGAAGCACACCTCGGTATCCTGGGCACCGGCCGCAATTTTGTTGGGACCTCCCCTGCTTTAAGCAAAGCTACTGCCCAGCCGCCCATTTTTTTTCCCCAGCACGCAGCATCGACTCGCCGGAGAAACGGATCGAGAGCGCATGAGTCAGTGAGGTGCTGGCAGGCGCTGCCGGAGGCCGGCCAAAAAAGAGGTGGCTCGCAGCCGTCCGGTTCCTTAGCTTTTTGTTAGCCTTTTAATGCTTAGTGGTAGTTTCTATTTAAAACCACTAGTTAAACTTTTAGCGGAAGCTCTGGGGGCAGCCCAGAAGAGAGAGAGAGAGATTTGGGGGTCCAAGTGGTCCAACTGTGGATTTGGTGTCCCACATGAGCACTTAATGGTTGCAATTGTCCGTCGGATTTTGAGTTTCTTGACCTTTGGTACCAGGCCTTTGAGATGGTTGCTGATCCGTCTTCTTGTTTTTACATTTGGTACCACAAATTTCCGTTGACCTGCAGACCAGTGCTTCTGGTTCTGTTTGAAGATATGTGAAACCAAACTTGTGTCACTTGTTTATCCAAGTTCCCTGAACTCCAAATATTGAAGGCATACTGCGTATGTTGTTATTTGTTTTTGTTTGTTTGATTGTGGTTGTTTTTTTGGGGGGAAGGGGGGAAGGGGGGAAGGGGGGGAGATGTCCATCTCCTATTCCACTGGATCCGTTCCATTTCCCGAGCCAGCGCCCACCGAGCGAGCGAGAGGAGGACAGGACCGCGGGCTTCGAGCAGTGCTGCGGCCCCAGCCCCTTGAGATATCGCCGGGGGGTGGCCCTCTACCGCAGCTTCGTGCAGGCGGGGGAAACCAGCCGCGTGTTTTTTTTTTTTTTGGGGGGGGGGAGGGGAAGGGGAGCGGAGCCATGTTGCACTTCAGGTGCCAGCAAAAAGTTCTGGTCTGCTGCTCTTCGGTGCCTGACTCTCGGATTGGAAACACTGCGGGGGCGCCTATGGGTGTCTGGTCGTTCAAAGCCTGGAAGAGAATCAACCACTTCTTATACTTCGCGGGGCAGGGTACTTAGGAAGTGGTCAGTAGTTCAAGGTTCGACTTGCTCGGGGGATCTTGGGGGACTTGGCAACTGGGCTCCGCCGACGTGTGCAAACCACATACTTACATAGCGAGTACCCTTGAGAGAACAGAGGGGTTCAAGAATTCTATGAAAAGAGGCAGGGTACTTGGGAAGTGGCTTGTAACCGTTGTTGAAGCCTATTTGCCATGGTTGTAAGTCCAACGGATTGAGTTTCCCTTTGCTTCCCCTTAGGCCCAACCAAAGAGCGCTGCAAGTTTCATCGATTGTTTTGGGGGGGGGGGCCCGAAGACATGGTTGAAAGTCCAGTTTGGTTGTAGCCATACCCAACCACTGAGGCCCCATTTTGGTGATTTCGCCTTTTTCCTGGCAAGGGAGGCCCAAACCTCACCTTGGGGGTCATTATTTCGACGGCTTCTGGGGGTTCTCAAAGTCAGTAAATGGGGTTGTTTCCCTTTAAACCACCACTGAACAGGGGTGACTTTGATCATGGTAAGTAAAGTCACCGGCCTTCCAGTCGCCCCCGTTGGGCGGGTTTCCGCCCAGAGGCTCCAACCACTTCGCCAAACAATCCAAGGCACTTTGCGGTGCTTGGTGGCCGTCGACGGGGTCTTCTTGGCGGACCATTCCGGGCTCTCCGCCTTCAATGTGCCGGTGCCCGCGTCGGAGTCCACGCACTTCGGCGAGAGAAGGGATGCACGTGAGCTCTTTGGAAGGTCGAAGCTGGAGCTGGTTTATTCCCAAACCACCAATCCAAACCATCAGCTGGAGCGAAGCTGAATGGTTTTCCTTGGCTAGATCTATCAATCCGGATCCATTTACATGCCGTGAGGCTTCGCACTGTCACGGTGCTGGTGGACAACCGCTTCAACCAGGTGCCGCGTTCGAAAGCGTTCGGCCCGAGGGGTTACCTTCCGAGTTGCCTTTGAAGGCACCCGCTTCCAACGGAAGCTGAGCAAAGTGGTGTGGGTGACAGTGTTGCAAACAAGACGAAGTTGGACAGAGAGTCAGGATGAAACCATGGCTTAACGTGGGTACTCTGTCTTGTTTTGTGGGTACCTTTTTGTTGGTTGGTTTAAACGGAAACCGCGAGAACTCCATTTCCCCCCCCCCCCCCAAAAAAAAAAAAGCCCATTGTGTAAACAAAGGTTTGGCTGACTCCCTAAGCTTTGCTTAACATTGCCAAGTGGACATGGCAGTGGCTTGGTATGCCACCTCCGCCATTTTCCCTGATGGTTTGGTAGTAAATTGTTCTTAGACTGTCGGTTTGGGTGACTGCCCTGCACCAAAGGAGGCAAGCGCTGAAAGCTTTCCGTGGATTGGGCGCTTCCTTCGGGTGTTTTAGGGGAACCCCCAAAAGTCTGCTTCCCATCGCTGAATGTGATCATGTAGGAAGTGCCCCATATTTGTGCATTCTTGACGGCTGCCACAACACCTGAGTGCAACCCCCCTGAAAGCCCCTCAGCCACGCACACTTTTCATATCGGCCAAAGCACCCGGGTTTTTTCGACTCAGGTGACCCACCCAGTACACCAACTCAAGTATGATTGGTACCAAGCAGGCCGGAGAGCCGGGGGTTTGCCGCTCTCCTTCAGCGCGTAAAGCAGCATGTGTGGACGCAGATGGGGTGTCAAGTCAGATCTGGTCAAATGAAATACGGAGCAAATCATTGCTTGTTCCCGTGGTCGCCTGCATGCTGAAACATGTTCCTTCTGCATTTTCCTGCAATTAGCTTCTTTGCAACCCAACCAATTTGTCCTTCTCAAGGTGTCTACGTTCTTTTTGGTAAGACCGCTAGTTTTCTGGCATATGGGTTGATGATTGACTCGCTGGCCGGACATTGTTTGGATGTGTATTTATAAGATGTCCACAAGTTCTATCCAGGTAAAAGTTGTACTTTGTCAAGTTGTAGCCTAGACATTGTGTGGGGCGGTGTTGGCACGGCGCAAGTCGGTTGTCGGTTGCCATTCCCTGTTCGCCTTTGTGTTTTTCTGCAAGGAAGGTAGGATCATTGCGAACTCATGCAGGTGGTGCCGGCGACACATTGACCTCTTGAGCTCGCACACTTTGGTCCCTTCCTTGTCATCTGGTGGGCGGTTTATAAAGCTTCAACTTCTTGGCCTGTCAGCTCAATAGGTCACGTGCAGCTGTCATGAACTTGCCTGGCAGACATGTTAGTCGCAAGCGGCCGGGCTGTTTCGGCGGCCGGGCCTTTCGCGTCGAAGTGGGAAAGACTAAAGTTTTTTTGGGGGGGGGCAGCTGTTTGCATGTTGAGGAAAGCCACCCTCCAACACTCACAGGCACACAGACACACAGACACACAGACACACAGACACACAGACACACAGACACACCCACACACACATGGCGTGCGCACAGAAACCTGTTGGAAGCCGAGTTCCAGAACCAAGAGTCGATCGGCGCTGCTCATGTTTGTTGGCAGGAGCGTACGTGTACTTATGACACAGGCAGCTTGCACGTCACAACACTTGGGCCATCCCAAAGATTTGTTGCCACAGAAACCGTGAGCCGCCTTCGCCTTTTCGGTGTCCTTTTTCCTGCGGGTTGCTTTGTTTTGGGATGCCACTGCAAGCCCCAAGAACCAGGACCTTACTTAATGTCTCTAGGTATTGGATCTTGTGGCGAGTCTTCTGGAGCAAGGGCACCTTGAAAATGCCTGGCCTCCCAGGCGGCTTGATCCGGGCCGTTCAGTTCCACAGCCTCCGTGGCCTGGTCTACTTGCAGGCGGTGGAGGTGTTCCCAAGGAGCGCCGGGGAAGTCGCAGCGCTTTGCTCACTGAATTTCTGGACTCCATACTTGCCCGGTGACTAGGTCCCCCAGCTAGGTGCCCTTTCTACCGCTTCTTTTTTGGTTGGGAGGGTTCCCCTCCTAAAATAGACTACAGAACAAAGGGTGCACTTATTCTAGCCTCTCTACTGGATGGCCTAGGCGAGTTGAGCGGGGAGCTTTTCGGTTGTCAGGTGGCTTGTATTTAGACAGGGGCCAAACAGCTCAAACCGTTTCGGTCAATCACTCAGCAGGCCAGAAAACTTGTTGGGAAGGTCTGTGCATTCACACCCAACAGGTTCAGAGCTGGTAGATGCTTCCACAAAGATGTTGGCTGAGAGATGTTCCCCGTGTGATGGTTTCCTCTCGGATCGTTTGATTACAGACGTTTGAATGACAGGGTGGCGCTAGTGGTGCATTTGTTGAGGGTTTCACTTGAAGTTCGGGCAATGTTGGGAACCTTGCAAGTCACTTTACCCCTCTTGGGTTTTTGGGTTGGTTTGGGGATTTGAGCCCTGGTTCTTGTTGGGACGGTACCTGGCAACTTCCACTCGGCCCCAAACCACCACCTACTTGCTTGAAGGGGCGGAACTAATGAGCAACCAGCCCAACCACCAATCCAACCATCCATCATCCACAACCACCCCCGAGCCAGCCAATCCAACCTACCAACCAACCTCCCCCCCAAAACCCAAACCAGCTACGAGCCAAAGCCCTTAGGAGCGCTGCGGAGGTCGAGGTGGATTTTAGACTCTCTGTGGCCGCCGAAAACGTGCAAGGTGCCAAGGGAAGGAGGGCTGGAGAACTTACTTGAAAGGGTTGCCTCGCTTTTTTTGCCCGCCTTGCAAGGGTACTGGTGCTTGTGTTCAACTGCCTTTATTGTGTCAAGTTCTTCCTTGGGGTGTCTCCATGTAGTTGTGCTAACAAACGCATGTTCCAGCGCTTCTGGGTAGAGGCCTGTTATAACACAAATCCTTGTCGTGTGTTTGTTTCGGAGTGTTGTCCTGGTCCGGTGTCCCCATGCAGTTTCGTTACGAAAGGCCTGTTTCAGCGCCTGCTATGACCATTTCGTTGGTGTCCCCATGTTCCGCGAGCTGCTTGGAACTGGGATCTTGGGTGTTGGGTGTTTCGATAATGGGATTTGCTCTGGACGTAGTGACTTCACGCGATGGCCGCGAACGTAGTGCCTTCACGCTAATGTGGTGTCAGTTGGCGGGATTCGGACTTTACGTGCGGACGTAGTGACGATTGCATGGGCCCAGCTTCTGCGATACTAAGGCTCTCCCCTTTGAGGTTGGTAAACAGAATCAAGCTTCTCACGCCCTCAGTTCCGCAGCAGGCCTTCCCGCACATTTTTCCTGGCCAGAAATCTGCTTCTTGGATGGCTGGAGCCCCGAGTTTCGCCTTTTGGGGATGCCAGCGGATTGGATCGAATGTTTCCCTCGCGTCTTAAGTGGCTCCCATGGAAACTCATGGAAACTATAAACGCACCCCGTCAAAGGGTTTTCTAGTTTTCTGGTTTTCTGCCGGGGGGGGGGGTTGGCGTTGGTTGCAGCCAGAACCCCGTGTTTTTTGCACGCCTCAGGTTTGCACTTCAGGTGGCGCTTCGATGATACGGCAGAAGGCGCTGGTTCTCAGATCCGCACCAGACCGCCAAAGACCTTCTGATGTGTTCTTTCTTCTGTTTGTTCTTTGTGTGTGTGTGTTGTTTTGTTGTTTTGTTTCTTTTGTTGTGTGTTGTTCTTCTTTCTCGTTTGTTGTTTAATTCTTCTTCTTTTTTTGCTGGCACGCCTGGGATGCCAAGAGCTTGGATATGAAGGCCTTTGCCCCAAAAGACCTCAAGTGATTTTGGGACCCTAGGGCCCTTAGGGTACCCTTTTCGCGGGCCAGTTTGGAAAGGGGCAGGGGGACAACAAGAACTCCACTTTTTGGGGGTCCCCTGTCCTGAAGCCAAATCCGACATGCCCCCTGGTTCAAATCATCTGGCGTTGCCAACAGTTGGGGTGGAACAAGGCGCTGGGAAGCTCCCTGAAGCTGAAAGCGAGTCGAAAGATTCGACCATTGAGCAGGTATTCTATCGGCTGATCGGCTGATTGATGAGCCAATGAGGACATGAGAACATGCCGGATGCATGGCTATGTGTATGTCCATATTTATATATGTGTATGTGTACATATATATATATGTATATATTAGTGCATATCAATGCATCCAGAAGCCGATTCACCAGCAGTTGCCCGCATATGTATCTGTATATGAATGCATATAGGGAGACACACGCATTCAAGCCGAGAGCTTCGAAGCACCTGGCAACTTGCAGGTTGCTCGTGGCAGCAGTGGCCCACGGTGAGTTGTTGCTCGAGCAACACCTCAGTGCCGGACGCGAAGCTTTGGACGCCCCAGCAGCCACACTTGCACCGCCTCAAGGTACCTGGGTGGCCAAAGGAGAGTATACCTCTGCCTATCTTATGGCGAGCTCACCGATTCAGGGGCATTTAACAAGCTCTGATAAAGGTCCATTACTTGCCGATCCAAGTCTTGATTCAGCCTTTGGAATTGTACAGTAAAATTGTAGATACGTGACAAGGCAGCAAAAAAGGAGACCACCCTTTTGGCGTGGAGTGGCGTGGTGTTTCCCATTTTTTGGCAACTGTCCGGTTCTCAGCGCTTGGCCAGTGTTCCCTGGGCAACTTGGACTTCATGAGCCACTTCACTACTGGCGTTTTGTGTCTTTTTTCGCAGCCAAAGAGGCCCACTCTCCTTGAGTTCTAGGTTTCGTTTCTTGGAAGACCGGTTGAAAAGCACTCGAAACCGATCTTGCGAAAACCACTCGTTTCCCGGTCAAAAAGTCAATGACCCGATCCACATCGTGGAGTTTTTTTTTGGAAGAAGGTGTATTTTCGCAGAAGGTGCAGGCTCGTAAGCTAGAGTTGGCAAGCTATTGGGTCTAATGACCCCCCAATCTTGACTGCCATTGGGTTGGATCTTTAGACTTTGACTTGTTGGGAAATCAAGGGGTTTTCCACTAAACCCCCGAAAAGTTAAACTTTTTGCAGGGGGGTCAACAGCAACCAAGCAATGGAAGCGCTTTTGGATTCCTTTCCGTGTTTACGGCGTTTTCCTCGGTTTTTTTCTTCTCCTCTCAGGTGGCGCTGCTGCTGGGTGAGGAGCTTTTGGACTGCCAGGAGGTGCGCTTCGGCCTGAGGACTCTGGAGGCCAAGGGCCGGGAGCTCCTTGGCCATGCCGCGCCAGTGGTCGTTGTTGGGAGCCCCTCAGCCAAAAGACGTGGGTGGCGCAGTTGCTTTTTTTGTTGGTAGGGTTCCACCCCCAAAAATGGGCAGTTGTGTTTTGTTGGTAGGATTTGGGAAATGTGTGGCGCAGTTGTGCATTTGTTTGGTAGGATTTGGACACACCCACGAAGCAAAGAACATGGCGCGACCGTATTCCTGTTGGTTTGCAACCATGTTATGCCCATCCCGAGCCCTGGAACCCCTTGGACCATTCCCTGAAAGCTCACCATTCTGGAGCCTATTTGGGGAGTCCTCGAAACGTTCACCTGCTTGGAGTAAAGGAGGTGTTGCGGCCGTGCTTTGTTTGGTTATGTGGTTTGCTCGTGGTCTGTTTTGTATCGTGTTGGCACCGTGTTGGTGTTTTAGTCTGTTGTGTGTTGCTGAATGTCTGTGTTGTTCGGTGTGTGTTGTCATGTGTTGTTTTGTGTTTGGTATGGTTGTGTTGTTGTGTAGTATGTTATTTGTGTGGTGTACAAGTGTTATGGTCGTTTGTTGCATTTGTTGAAACCGTGTTTTGATTGTTTCGTGTTGTTTTGTGTCTTGGGTTGTGTTTGTTTGCTTGTGTTTGGTTGGTAGGTGGGTTACTTGCTTGCTGGCTGGCTGGCTTGCTGGCTGGCTCGGTTGGTTGGTTGGTTGGTTGGTTGGTTGGTTGGCGTTTTTCTCTTTTTGTGTGTGTGTGTGTGTTTGTTTGCTTGCTAGCTTGCTCGCATGCTTGCTTGCTTTATCGTTTGTTTGTCATCTTGTTTTATTGCCTCAGCGGAAATTGCAAGGGACCAACCTAATGAACACCCATTATTTTGGATTTGCGTCTTGTGCGTTTGCTTTGGCAGGTTGTTATGTTTGGTTGTTTGGCGTGTCGAGTTGTGTGTGTTTTTGTTTCCTCTGTCTTGGTTTCAGTTTGCTGGGTTTGTTCTTTGTCCCGTGTATTGTATGTTGATTGGTGTGCGGTCCTGTTTGTTGCGGCTGTTTGTCTTGTGTTGTTCTTCGCGGTGCGGTGCATGCTGCAGTTGGACTTCTGTGTTTGGTTTGTTTGTTTGTGTGCCTTAGAGTGCAAAGAAAAGGGTTGGGAGCACCCTGCAGGTGGCTTTGTCGCATCCGCGCCATTGACAAAGCTCTCGGTAGACTCGTGTAAGTTTGGGGAAAACATCGGTCAACCACCTTCCCGAAAGTCAAGGGCAGCATTGGTCAAGGGACCCCGGGCCACCCAAAGGTTGTTTCAACAAGGGCTGCCACATGTGTAACAGACGAGCGCGCAAGGATCCGGCTCAATGGCCAGAAGCTGTCGCCCCTTGGCTTCTCATTGAACTGGGGGTCTAGGAAGCAGGCTTCACAAGAACGAAGAGCCTAAAGATCCCTTGGCACCGGGTGTCCAAAGTTCTCCGGCTTACGATTTGCATTCTCATAGTGACTACTGAAGTTCGGTAGTCAGATACATGGGTGAGTTCCCGTTGGGGCAAGGTGATACATTGGAAAGGGTTGGCCCAACCTCCAGGCCATGGGTATGGCCTGACTTACCTCACCTCAGAAAGCCCGAGGTGTTTAAAAAGCAAAGATAAGATGGAACCCAACCACAACCAAGAGGTCACTCCTAAAGGAACACATTTCCGGCAGTTTTCCTGGCCCATTCGACTTGAGACGTTTCGCATACGTCCACTCAGATCCATTTTGGGAGCGTCGTTTTTGAGGGCAATATTGGGAGCTGAATAATTGCACACAATAGACTAGATTTGGCTAAGCCAATCAAAGCACGCAAAGCCATTCGGCAAGTCTTCTTGCTTAGCCCATGGTATTACTCTTTTCTGTTGTTGGATGGAATTATGCGGGTGTGTTTGTGCTTTAATCCGACAACTTCTGTCCTGACCCTAGAGAGCCCAAGCTCACACTCCCCAAGTTTGAACTGCGCACATGCTATGCTTACATACAGATACATACGCACACTTTGTTTGTAAGCAACAGCTCAAACTTTAGCCTTTTGGACGCTGCACCGTTTGGGAAGAACAGTTTAGTGGTACAACACAGCTCTGACTTTGTTTGGGCAATCCACTTTGGACAATGAGCACTTAGAGCACTTCTTTGTGGCTCAGTTAGTTGTTCAGTGGCTCCCTTTTTCCCTTTTTTTTTGGCTGCCTGCCCCACTAAATGGTCTTCCCAAAAAAGGGCTGCCTTTTTTTCCTAGGGTCACTGAACAATATTTGCATCCGTGGAAACTGCAGGCTCTTTGGCCTCAACCGGCATGACCTGTGGTCGAGCGCGGTCCTCACACAGGAACAACTGGTTCAGGAGGGCAGTTTCTGGGAGCCTCGGAGCCCCGTCCTGCTTGCCTTCCTTGGCTGCTGGCTTTGGTTGGTTTGCTTTGGTTTGGTTTGGTTTGCTTTGCTTTGGTTTGCTTTGGTTTGGTTTGCTTTGGTTTGGTTTGGTTTGGTTGGTTGGTTAGTGCTGGTTCATTTCTTTGTTGGTTGGTTGGTTGGTTGGTTGGTTGGTTGGTTGGTTGGTTGGTTGGTTAGTGCTGGTTCATTTCTTTGTTGGTTGGTTGGTTGGTTGGTTGGTTGGTGCTGGTTCATTTCTTGGTTGGTTGGTTGGTTGGTTGGTGCTGGTTGCTTTCTTTGTTGGTTGGTTGGTTGGTTAGTGCTGGTTCATTTCTTTGTTGGTTGGTCGGTTGGTTGGTTGGTTGGTTGGTTGGTTGGTTGGTTGGTTGGTTGGTTGGTTGGTTGGTTGGTTGGTTGGTTGGTTGGTTAGTGCTGGTTCATTTCTTTGTTGGTTGGTTGGTTGGTTAGTTGGTTAGTTGGTTAGTGCTGGTTCATTTCTTGGTTGGTTGGTTGGTTGGTCGGTCGGTTGGTTGGTTGGTTGGTTGGTTGGTTGGTTGGTTGGTTGGTTGGTGGGTTAGTGCTGGTTCATTTCTTGGTTGGTTGGTTGGTTGGTTGGTTGGTTGGTCGGTCGGTTGGTTGGTTGGTTGGTTAGTGCTGGTTCATTTCTTTGTTGGTTGGTTGCTTGGTTGGTTGGTTGGTTGGTTGGTGCTGGTTCATTTCTTTGTTGGTTGGTTGCGTTTCTTTGTTGGTTGCATGGTTGTTTAAAGTTGTTCCCTTGGTTGTCTACAGGGAATGGAATCATTGGATCAGAGCCTCGAAAGGACTGAACAGTTGAGATCTTGGGCTAAGGTCTTATTCAGGCTCGGTTGGCCTTACATTGGCTCACGCGGGCCTATTCTACCTATTGGGAGAGAGTTTGAATGGTCTCTGATTTTGAGTTGAGAAATGTTGCCTGGGTGGCTCCCAGCCATCCCCTTAGTTTTTGTTTCCACTTTTAGTGTTTAGTGGTTGGATTTCCATTTAAGCCACAAAAAGTTAGTCACTTTTAGCGGGGGATCTGAAAACGGGCAGCCCAGTTGCCTCGAAACACTTCGGGGTTCGACCAGCTGCCTCTTCTCGTGGGGCCCAAGAGTGTGGGCCCCGTTTTTTGTCTGACGTTTCGTTTACATACCAGGCATGTAATAAGGTTTGCTTTCTCTCAGGCACAGTCTAAGATGGTTTCCACCACCCAAATCACCCCAGAAAACACGGGTATATATTATATACATACCCTCTATCTAGTGGCTTTTTGGTGGTTGCAGGGCTCGTGGCTTGGGGGGTAATGGAAACCATGTTAGACACGACCAGCAGAAGGCTAGGGGCCCACATTTTTGTTTGGGATAGCCCAGGAGGTTTGCGAGGTTCCTTGGTGAATTTTATGGGACGCGTCGGGGTTTGCCAGGTCCCATAGTTTTGATCTGTCCGGGCGCTTGGCCTGCAGGGGCGGGGATGTGGCTGGCATTTTTGGCTGCAACCAACTTGGGACTTATCGCCTATAACTTCTTCACGCTTTCGGGTGAAAGCATAGGCTAACCGCCTAGAGGCCTACCTGACATGTATCCAGCAGTTCGAAGGCTTTATGGGGTGACATCCCATTCTTAAGGGTAGGTTGAGGGAACAGGTACACTTTTTAGTGTGGATTTGTTACAAAGATAAGCCAAACTGGCGATGGCTAATTCCCCTGAAAAGTGAGACCCATGGCTATATTTGAGCAAAGATAAGCCATAAAGACCCGGTAAACGCGGGTCCCAAAAAAAACGCGTTGCAGGACGTGCAGCTCTTAAAGAACCTCGGCGCCAACTTTGTGCGCGGTGCGCCTGGGACATTGGAGAGAGATGGGATTCCAAACCTAAAAAAGGCCGTGCTTCGCGAGTGGAAATCACATTTTCTAGGTCGGTACCCTTATTCTAACTTCTCTACTGGAGGACCTAGTTTTGCGTGACATCCCCGGTTTATCATCTGAATCTTGACCCTCGAAGCCATCACCAAAGCACCTTCGGGTACACAAATGCAAATATGGTCCCTTGAAATTCGTTTGATCATGTTTGATCGATACATTTTGCCATTTGCTGTTTGCTTTCTAAATTTCTATGGGTGGAGAAGCTTCGTGGTTCCCACCAGGAGAATCTCTGAGTAAATCTGTCCTAACACGATTTCGCGCGGGACCTCCAAAGGTGTTTCTCTCTTCGAACCCCCCCCCCCGAAAATCAGACCAGGTGGCTTCATTAACGGCCCCCGCAACCCTTCCGGAAGCCTTTTCGCCCGAAGCCGCACAAAAAAAAACCGCTCCGGAGAGACCGTTGGTGAAGCCGGTGCCGAACATGTTCAAAGTCCAAAGCGGCTGGCGCAAAAAAAAACCGAGGCGCACTACGCGCAGGACCAGCGGTTCCTGGACTTGTGCGATGAGCAGGGGCTTTTGGTCTGGGAGGAAGTGCTGGGCTGGCAGAACACGCCGCAGGAGAGCTTTGCTTCGGTCAAATTTGGTTTGCTTCCATTTGCTTAAGGCTATGATTCTATTTTCTCTTGTTGGTTTCAACAGGAAGCTGTCACTGCTGGATTTTTTCCAGGGGTCTTAAGCAAATGGAAGTTTGGCGGTTGTTTGGAGGGGTATCCCGGTTGGGATTGATCTGCTTTAAAGCGGTTGGGTTTGCCTTCGTTTACTGAAAGCGAAATTCGGAGTGTAATTTTAAGGAGTGTGAAGTTGGCGGACCGGTCTCACGCGCGTGAATTCGAGCGAGACCCGGAAGCCAGGTTTGGCTTACATGTGCAATGATTCAACGTTAATTTGTTTTTGCCCGGTGTGTGCATCGCTTTCGTCTACGGACCCTTTTCCTATCCAAGGCACTCAGAAGGTCAATACGTGGTTTTCTTCTTGCTGTTTGCTCGTTGCTTTCAGCGGGGGTAGTAGTAAGGCCAGTGCTTCGCATTTGCCTGTCTAGTAGGTAACTCAGGGACCACCCTTCGAACACCGCAGTGAAAATGGGAGGTTATGCAGACGTTTGGGCGGGGAAGAGTTGGTCTCGAACCCTTTCTGCAACGAAAACAAATCCGACTCCAGCGTTCGCCTTTGCCATTTCTATTCTCAAGGACGTTGTTTGGGATGCGATCCCAGCAAAAACCTTCGGCATTTAGTGCCTACCTTTGAAGCTTCGTTCTGTTGCCTATGGCCGCTATTGGCTGGGACCGGTCCATTCTGCCTTCGGGGCTCATCGTGGACTCTGATGGGGCCACTGTGCGCGCGAATGGCGGCGGCTCGAAGTGCGCCACTGTCCAGTCGCATGTGGTACTCAGCTCAGGTGTGCAGCGCATCCGATTTGAGACGGTGGACTTCACTCCCGGCCAGTGGAGTGTGGCAGTTGGGGCCGTGCCTTTGGGCACTGACACCACCGGGGAGATGTGCCCCATTGGCTACGGTGGCGCTCCGGCGGGCGAGGGCTGGGGCTACTTCGGGCACGACGGCGCGAAGAACCATCGCAGCTTTGGGGGGACGATGTATGGTCCTTCGTGGCACCGAGGATCCATCATCACCTGCACTCTCGACTTCGACGCTGGCACCGTGTCCTTCGCGCACGACGACCAGCCCCTGGGGGTGGCGTACTCGGACCTCAAGGGCCCGGTGCGTCCGGCGGCCTGCATCTTTGCCAACCGCGGAGCCATTAAGATCCTCGACGTTACCAAGCTGTGAAAAACATGCTGCGGTGATTGGATCCGGAGAACTATTCTCTCATGGGAAGAAGGCACACGGACCTTGAAGGCTCCTCCTATGCAGGGATTCTCTGCCCGTGCTTCGTTTTCTTCACAACCATCCCAGCTGTCACCGCGGGCTCGCCCTCGAGCCCTCTATGATGTTCCCTCCGCGGTCGCAGGTCGAGCCCCAAGCCCCCCCTGCCTGGGAGCAGTGTGCGCGCTGTTGGAGGGAGACAAGGGCGGCGAGAGTGATTGTTTTCCTGCAAGCCACAAGTATTGTTGACCAGCCACAACACTCGCTGACTACCCACAACAATACTTGACAACAATACTTGACCAGGCTTTTGCGACTAAACTGATTTGTGTTGTTGTTTTTTTGAACAGCAGTTGTTGTGATTTGCAGTGGATCTACTAGCCAACATTTGGGTTGTGATGAGTAAGGGAACTTTTTGCACATTAGCATGTTGGGTTTGCAAAATAGCTTGGGCTTTGGCTTGTCAGGGTTCGGGCTGGCAAGTTCTACATGTCCCCATGAAACATGTTTGTTTTAGCCATGACCCATTGGTTTTGGATTCTCTACTGCCTTCACCCCTAACCCCCCCCCCCCAGCTCCAAATGTTCAAGCCTAACCCAAGGAATTGTCTTTCATTGCTCCAAATGTTCAAGCCTAACCCAAGGAATTGTCTTTCATTGTCCCTTTTTTACCAATGGTGTTTTTCACTGGGCCAACACCCATAGCTACTTTGTGTTATGAACGAAAACCTATTTAGTGTGTTCATCATTCATCTCATAGTGACTGCATCTCGAACCACAACCCATGGACGTACTTTGCACGGATGCTCTTTCCGCAAATGGGTTCTTATGCAAAGAACAGTTATCAACCAACTAGCAGGTAGCATCAGCAGCAACCGTGTCAATGAGAGGGAACACCCTGTTCTTGATGATCTCAGCTCTTGTGGAGAGTTTGGTCCCTTGCAGTTCCCTGACCCCATAAAATAAGCACAGAGTACAAACACCAAGAACCACGGTGTGGGTTTTGGCGAGGGGGAGGTTACAAGAATCGGTGCCCTTGTTCAATCTAACTCAATTCACCAATCGCGGACTACATCCACCAATGCTAGGTGACGAAGACTCGATTTGGAATCCACCCATGTGCTACCCCATGTTTTATTGTTGCATTTAGAGGTAGGATGAAATGCACGACCCCTGCGTATGGGACAACATGCCAAGTACTATCGGAGTCAAACAAGGGAATCAGTGGAAGCATCGTATAGCGTGTGCCCACGGCTCCCCATGGCCCCAAACCTGAAATCCATGCCAAGTTATGCCGGCGCTTGGGGTTTTGCCCAGCTGGCCAATCCAGGGGTTTCGACCCGGCCCGGCCCGGCCCAAGCAACTCGCGCCGACTCGGGGGCTTCGGAGCGACCCCGTTTGCTGTGCCGAGGACTTCGCGGACGGGATTTTTATGATGCAGAGCTTGAAGCTGGCAGATGAGATGGTCGCTGCATCCGTGAACCACCCGCCAGGTGGTGGCATTTTGTCGCTTCGTTTCGGAAACTGTTTCCAACGGCTGTCGCTTTTCCCACGTTGAAAATCCCAAAGCAAACATATGCGACTTTGAGGGTTGGAGATGGGACAACCGCAGCTTTATGAGGGTGCTGGTGGTGTGTTAGTTGTTTGGTTCTGTCTGTCACTTGAGGGTTACACCATGTGGGTACTGGGACTCATACCCCGGACCGCCTCCCGGTTTCCCTACTGTAAGACTGTAACTGACAGACTCGTTTAGTCCTTATTGGAAGAAACCAGGGTCCTATGATTTGAACATGTATTCTGGGCAAATGGTAAATTCCTTTCTGTCCAAATTGGAACTCAGCAGAGGGTCTCTTGCAAAACCCCACAGCCAGGTCCCGAATGGATGGGTAAATGGAACCTCGAACCAGAATCGGACCGGATGCAAATTTGAATTGCACATACGTGCGGAAGATTTCCCCCAAAGACCAACATGAGATGGGTCATGTGTTTTCCGTTGTTGCGCATGCGCCCCTCTTTGGGCACGTCTGAGGTCCGTGATTTTCTTCGGCTTCTTCAATGAAGGCGGAGAGAGTTGCTCCACTAGCTCAGTGGCCTTGAACTCCCTGTTTGTTGTCGCTCAAAATTGGAATCAATCCGAATAATGTCTCAGGGGCTCGGTTCACTACGAAGTATTGGAATCACTCACTTCCTGAGTTCATGACGTTTGACCTTTTTGAGAAGACCATTCTAGTGGTAAATCTAAAGTTTGGACTTTTATTGGGCCATCCACTCAGCAAGTGAGGGAATCAATCCCAGAAAGGAGACCATGTCTTAAAATGGTTCAATGTTTCCGCAAGGGTCGCTGGGTGAATGGACCAATTGCCTTGAAAACTAAACCCGAACTCTTCGCTCAGAACCCATGGTAAGACAGGCTCTCGGTTCCGTTAAATGCCACTGAACAAACAGCTTTCAACCAGCAAGGGGATTTGGACATGAGGAAAAGCAGGCAAGGTGGGAGGAGTCAACCGAAAGAAATCTGCCGGTATCCTAAGATGTGCTTTTGGACGCCCCGTTCCAGCCTTTTGGCCTTGTGGCCTTCCGTGAATGCGGCTGAACGAAGAGGTTTCAACCAGCGTGCTGGAAAAAATGAACCGTTTGCGTCCAAGTCCTTTGGGCAAGTGAACAGATGCTATACTTGCGGCTCAGTGGCGCCCTCCGGTAGTAAACCCAATGCTTTTACACCAACATGGTGTGCTTCGTGTGTAAGCATGCTCATTTCAACCCAGACGTTCAAGTCACATGTGTTTGAACTTGAGGGGTGTCCTACTCGAAGATGTCAGCCTGGAGCCGCTCAAAGGCCAACCCTGGTTCAACCAATGTACTACGCAAAGCTATACGTGCACTCTCTCTCTCTCTCTCTCTCTCCCTCTCTCTTTTTCTCTTTTTTTCGAAGTAGAGCAACCAAGCTATGAAGCGTTCTACGGTTCCCTAAATGGTTGGACTCCCAACTTGTTAGGGTCCGAGCCTCAGGAAATGACCGAGGCAGAGAAATCGTTGGTTTCATGCCCCTAACTTCATTGGCAGCTAGGCCCAGCGGCGGTCGCAAGTGCTAGTGACTGCCAGTGACAACTTGATACCGTAGCCCTGGAAATGGAATCCCTACGTTGATCTCACAGAAAGGGTACTTTTCCAAGCATGTTGTTGGTACCGCCAGATGTACATGTCGAGTTTGAGCCATGCTTCGTATTGACCCTGTCCACTTTGCTATGGGATCCGTCCCCTTAAGAAACACACCTTTTGGATCTTTGGACTTCAGCTTTTTGGGAAATGAACTTTCCATTGGACCCGCAAAAAGCTATTCCATTGGACCCATGCTTCATAATTACTGTGGATGGAGAACGCCTGCACCACTTTGAAGCCATTGTTTCTTGGTATTTACAGGGGGTCATCACTTCAGGGTTTTTTAGCGGGTGCGAAATGGATTTCGTCCATCCGCAGTATGGACCCCAGACCCACGTCCCAGCGGGCCCCTTACGGGGACAGCGACATGAAGCCCCGTCGGTGGCGTCCAGGCCGTTCCGACGACCCGAGCCCCGCCACGGAGGCGGCGTATCACAGCGCCGCGGCGGCGGCTTAAATGGTCGTTACGTTTTTGTTTGGTGCTTTAAAAAGTACAAATGTATAGCATCAAAATAAGAAACATGTTGTTTTCTACAGGTTGGACACAAACAAATGGGTTAGATCCTCAAACAAATGGCTGGTGTTTAAGGTTGGACCTATACAAATGGGTTGTTTTTTTCTCGGTTGGATCCACAAAAATGGTTAGGGTTCTTTGGGTTTTCCCTTGATGCACCCTGGTCTTATGAGTGGGGGATACCGTTGGGGTTGCCTTTTGCTTGCTTCCCTTTAAACAGACCGCAAGAAGGGTACCAACAAAACAAGTGTTGACGGCTTCTGAGGGTCAAGTTCAAAAACTGCTTCATGGCTTTCCTAGCACTGCACAGGGGTGACTTTGGCAAAATGAGGCCCAGGACCATCGTACATATTTGTTGGCTACAGAGGGTCCCTTAGATTCCGTTTTTGGAACCTCCATTGGTGATAGATTCAACGGACGCCGGCAATCAACTTTGAAAGACATCCCATGACCCGGTTCTTTTTGATGGTACCATTTGAAAAGGACAAATCCAAAAAGGGAAGCCAAGGATGGGAAGCCAACAGCTGTAACATGATGGTATCCGGTAGCAAAGGTTGAAACCCCAGGTTTAAAGACTGACGTTGACCAAAATGACATGCACACAGACAACGAGTTTGTGACGATGGACGGGGCTTGCCCAAAAGAGAGCGGTTCATTTGCGTCCTGGGGCGGTGCTGATTCACTGATGTGGTGGTGGCCAAGTTTCAAACACGACGAAACTAGGGGAAACCCAGAGAATTGCCGGGACATATTTTGATGGCAAGCCACATGCCCCTTGAGTTCATCAGGGCCACGTGCCCAAGTTCTTTACAAGCTGACTTGTGAGGCATCCATCCGTATCCCCCGAGAGGGGTCTGAGCTTGCCCTTACGAGATCAAACTCATGCTTGGAAGGCGGAGCTGGGGGACGTTCCGCGAGGAAATAAAAGCGCTCGCGGGGAAATAAAAAATGACGAAAGCAAAAATAAGCAAATGCGTGCGCAGAAATAAGCAAATTGCGTAGGAAAATAAAACTCACGTATAACAAACTAAACAAGCCCGCGCAACCCCCAAGCCTCGTTTTGCGTAACAACTTCTACCTTATTTAGTTCTTGGCTTGCAAAGCCCATGAACAAGTATCAGGGCAAGAATCGCGCAAGAAAATTAAACACACAGATAAAAAATAAAACACGCCTCCGCAATCGCTCAATGCCTATCGCGCCACAATCCTTCCTGCATGTGTTTTTGTTTTAACTTCTCGGTTCAAACTGAACAAAGACTTGACAAGGAACAAACATCAGCGCAGAATTAAGCCGAGTACGCGCGAAAACAAATTACACAAGCGCAAAACATAACACGCAACAGCATAACGGTATGAATGGAAAAATTATACTACATTTTTTTCGTTCCCAGCTCAAGATTGCTGCTTGAAAGCCCGCTCGTATCTACATTTTCCCTAGAAGCATTGCGCAGTAGTAGAGTCGTTGAGTTCTGCGCAGCTCAACTGCGCAGAGAAAATAGGGCAGTGAAATGCATAGAGGCATGCATAAGCAAAGTGCACAGTGCAAATCAGAGAGGCACGCGTAGAGCAAGTGCCGAGGTATGCGCAGGGAAAGTAGACAGTGAAATGCATAGAGGCACGCGCACGGAAAGTAGACAATTTGATTGCCTAGAGGCATGCGTGGGGCAAGTGTAGAATGAAATGCATAGATGTTTGCACAGGGAAGGCTGCCGCCCCCCCCAACCCCCCTCCCCGCGCCTTTAATTTGAATCATCATTTTTGAATCATCATGCGAGAGCCACTTTTTACACTCTTTGCCCCTAACTTTTCGATCCACTTTGTTGGGCGTCATGCCCCCCCCCTCCCCCGCTATTTTTTTAGATTTTTTTCAGCCCCAAACCCCACCCCCCCCCGCTATTTTGGACCTTTTTGCACCAATTGAATCATCACTGTTTTTCGATCATCATTGGTGGGGATCACTTTTTCAATCATCACTGGGGGGGGGGGGCTAACCCCCGCGCTGCTGTTTAGATTTTTTTGCCCCATGTTCGATCATCATAGGGGGGGGCATCGCTTTGTTTTCAATCATCATGGGGGGCTGCCGCCCCCCCCCTTAACCACCTGCTGCTGTTTAGATGTTTTTCTCTTAATTGAATCATCACTTTTTCGATCATCATGGGGGGGGCCCCCCAACCCCCCTCCCCCCCCCCCGCGCCTTTAATTGAATCAGCAATCATCATTGGGGGGGGGCCACGCCCCCGCTATCTTTTTCGAGTTTTTGCCCTTAGAATCATCACTTGTTCGACTATGATGGGGGGGCTGCCGCCCACCCCAACCCCCCCCCCCGCCCCCCACCCCTCCCCCCTCTGCGTTTTCATATCTATTTTTTTTTGGGAGCGGCCCTGTTTCAATCATAGCTTTTTTGGATCACCGCCCCCCCCGCCCCGCTACTTTTTTTTGTGCCTGAATTGAACCATCATATTTTCATCCTCCTGCTACTTTTTAACAGCTTTTTGGCCCCTATTTGAATCATCACTTTAACAATCATCATGATGGTTTTTGGCCCTAATTGAGTCATCCCTTTCTTGATCATCATGGGGGGCTGCTTGGCTTCTCGGCTTCTTGGTTTCTTGGCTTTTCGGCTTCTTGGCTTTTCGGTTCTCGGCTTCTGGGCTTCTAGGCTTTTTGGCTTTTTGCTGGTTTATGCGGCTTTTGGTGGCTTTTGAGCTTTCCAATTCCTCTTCGGCAGGTAGCGTTTTTGCATTTTTGCATCTTTTCGCTGGTTTGCGCGGCTTCGGCTTTGGCTTTTCGCATCTTCAGGCTTTTTGGCTATTGGTTTTTGCATTTGGCTTTCCGCATCATCAGCATCACCACCACCCTATTTGAATCATCACTTCTTCGAGCGTCATGGGGGGGGAACCCCGCTACTGTTTAGATTGTTTGCAGAGTGTAATTGCACCCCTATTTGAATCAACTCTTCTTCAAACATCATGGGGGGGGGTTGCCGCCTCCCCCCCCCTTACTTTTTAGATTTCTTGTAGAGATTGAATCACCCCTGTTTGAACCATCACTTTTTTGAGCGTCCAATTTCGCGAGAACATGCTGCAAAATACGACACTTTAGGTAATCTGTGTAGTCCATGTATGTCCGTATGTATGCAGTTCTTCGAACATCATAGGGGAAGCTTCTATCACACCCTTTCTTGAATCATTGCACCCCTACTTGAATCATCACTCCTTCCGGCATCATGGGGGGGGCTGCCGCCCCCCCCCCCCAACCCCCCCGCTGCGTTTAAGATTTTCTACAGAGATTTAATATTTAATTAGTTGCACCCCTAGTTGATGAATCACCAACTCTTCCAACATCAGCCCCCCCCCAACCCCCCCGCTACTTTTTAGACTTTTTGTAGACATTGAGTTGCACCCCTATCCAAATCATCACTTCTGCAAAAAACATTTGGGGGGGGGGGCTGCCGACGCCCCCCCGCTACTTTGCACTTCGATCGTCATGGCGCTGCGGCCCCCTTCCCCCAACCCCTCTCCCTGCTACTTTTTAGACTTTTCTTTGGAGTGGTATTTATTTTACGAGTTTTCCTTCTTTTTTTTTTTACGCTTTTGGCTTCTTGGCTTCTTGGCTTCTTGGCTTTTTGGCTTCTTGGCTTCTTGGCTTCTTGGCTTTTTGGCTTTTCGGCTTCTTGGCTTCTCGGCTTCTTGGTTTCTTGGCTTTTCGGCTTCTTGGCTTCTCGGCTTCTGGGCTTCTGGGCTTCTTGGCTTTTTGGTTTCTTGGCTTCTTGGCTTCTTGGCTTCTTGGCTTTTCGGTTCTCGGCTTCTGGGCTTCTGGGCTTCTAGGCTTTTTGTTTTTTTGCTGGTTTATGCGGCTTTTGGTGGCTTTTGAGCTTTTCGCATCCTCTGCATTCCCAATTCCTCTTCGGCAGGTAGCGTTTTTGCATTTTTGCATCCTTTCGCTGGTTTGCGCGGCTTCGGCTTTGGCTTTTCGCATCTTCGGGCTTTTTGGCTATTGGTTTTTGCATTTGGCTTTCCGCATCATCAGCATCACCACCACCCTATTTGAATCATCACTTCTTCGAGCGTCATGGGGGGGGAACCCCGCTACTGTTTAGATTGTTTGCAGAGTAATTGCACCCCTATTTGAATCAACTCTTCTTCAAACATCATGGGGGGGGTTGCCGCCTCCCCCCCCTTACTTTTTAGATTTCTTGTAGAGATTGAATCACCCCTGTTTGAACCATCACTTTTTCGAGCGTCCAATTTCGCGAGAACATGCTGCAAAATACGACACTTTAGGTAATCTGTGTAGTCCATGTATGTCCGTATGTATGCAGTTCTTCGAACATCATAGGGGAAGCTTCTATCACACCCTTTCTTGAATCATTGCACCCCTACTTGAATCATCACTCCTTCCGACATCATTGGGGGGGGGCTGCCGCCCCCCCAACCCCCCCGCTGTGTTAAAAATTGTTACAGAGATTTAATGTTTAATTAGTTGTACCCCTAGTTGAATCGTCAATTCTTCCAACATCATGGGGGGCTGCCCCCCCCCACCCCGCTACTTTTTAGACTTTTTGCAGACATTGAATTGCACCGCTATTCAAATCATCACTTCTGCAAAAAGCATCATGGGGGGGGCTGCCGCCCCCCGCCCCAACCCCCCCCGCTACTTTTAATTTTTTTTTTAATAGGGATTGAAATGCCCTCCTACTTGAATCATCATTTCTTTCACCCCGTCACACGATTTGTTGGTGATGTTAGGGATGTTGGTCGGACATGCGGGGGATGTTGAACACGATGCTAGGGATGTTGACGGGCTAGCGTAAAATGCGTCAATTTCGCGAGAAAATGCTGTAAAATACGACACTTTACTGGCCCGGCAGAGATTGAATTGCACCCCTGTTTGAATCATCACTTTTTCGAGTACCAATTTCGCGAGAACATATTGCAAAATACGACATTTTAGGTAATCTGTGCAGTCCATGTCTGTCTGTATGTATGCATTTCTTCGAACAACCCTCCCGCTGCCTTTTAAATTCTATCACACCCTTTCTTGAATCATTGCACCCCTACTTGAATCACCACTTCTTCCGACATCACGGGGCGGCAGCCCCAAACCCCCCGCTACGTGTTAGATTTTCTACAGAGATTAAATGAATTGCACCCCTAGTTGAATCATCAATTCTTCGCGAGAAAATGCTGTAAAATACGACATTTTATTTGCCCGGACGAAAAACCAAAAAAAAAAAACAAAAAACGAAAAATCAAAGAACAAACTTAAAATAAATGCGCACCCTGCCCCTAATTGAAACATCACTTTTTCGATCGTCGTCTGCTGCCGCCCACCCCGCCCCCCAACCCCCCGCTCATCATTTTTCGATCATCGTGGGGGGGGGGGGCGCTCGTGCCCCACCCCCCCCCCGTGCCCCGCGCGCGGGGGGGCTGCCGCCCCCCACAACCTCCCCCGGCTTTTTAGAATTTTTGCCCTTAATTGAATCATCACTTTTTTCGATCACCGTGGGGGGGTCTGCCGCCCCCTCAACCCCCCTCCCCGCGCCTTTAATTGAAGCATCATTTTTTCAATCATCATGCGAGAGCCATTTTTTACATTCTTTGCCCCTAACTTTTCGATCCACTTTTTCAATCATCATGGGGGGGCTGCCACCCAACCCAACCCTGTCCCCCCCCCCCCCCGCTATTTTTTAGTTTGTTTTGGCCTTGAAACTCTGCACAAGTAGCATAAGTGTTCCGATGTACTCAGGCGAAGGAGACTGAAGCAAAGGTAAACATCTACGTGTTTCAAGTCGCTAGGATTACACACGGCGATATACATACACAGTGCATACACATGCAGTCCGGTCCTGGGCTCTCTCCGGTCCGTCCGGCCGTCTTGTTTCGGTCCGTCCGCGCAGCCGCACGCTGGGACGCGCAGCATGTCCCGCTTCGCGGCGCGTCTGGCTCTGGTCCTCCCCGTCCGGTCTCCGGTCTGTCCGGTCCGTCCACGTCCGGTCCGTCCGCCGTCCAGTCCGCGGTCCGTCCGGTCCGGTCCGGTCCGGTCCGTCGGTCCGTTCGGTCCGTCCGGTCCGTCCGGTCCTTCCGGTCCGGTCCGTCCAGTCCGTCCGGTCCGTCCGGTCCGTCCGGTCCGTCCGGTCCGTCCGGTCCGTCCGGTCCGTCCAGTCCGCGGTCCGTCCGGTCCGGTCCGTCGGTCCGGTCCGTGCGGTCCGTCCGGTCCGTCCCGGTCCGCGGTCCGTCCGGTCCGTCCGGTCCGTCCGGTCCGTCCGGTCCGTCCGGTCCGTCCGGTCCGTCCGGTCCGTCCGGTCCGTCCGGTCCGCGGTCCGTCCGTCGGTCCGGTCCGTGCGGTCCGTCCGGTCCGTCCGGTCCGCGGTCCGTCCGGTCCGTCCGGTCCGTCCGGTCCGTCCGGTCCGTCCGGTCCGCGGTCGCGGTCCGTCCGGTCCGTCCGGTCCGTCCGGGTCCGTCCGCGGTCCCGGTCCGTCCGGTCCGTCCGGTCCGTCCGGTCCCGGTCCGGTCCGTCCGGTCCGTCCGGTCCGCGGTCCGCGGTCCGTCCGGTCCGTCCGGTCCGTCCGGTCCGTCCGGTCCCGGTCCGTCCGGTCCCGGTCCGCGGTCCGTCCGGTCCCGGTCCGCGGTCCGTCCGGTCCGTCCGGTCCGTCCGTCGGTCCGTCGGTCCGCGGTCCGTCCGGTCCGTTGTCCGTGCCGTCCGGTCCGTCCGGTCCGCGGTCCCGTCCGCGCGCTCCGTCCAGTCCGGTCCGGTGAATCCTGGTCCGCGGCGCGGTCCGTCCGGTCGGTCCGCCCAGTCCGGTCCGTCCAGTCCGCGGTCCGTCCAGTCCGCCCAGCTCATGCGGCTCATCCACTCCATGCGTCCAGTCCGTCCGGTCCGTCGTATCTTTTTATTTCTCATGTTTGTTTTGTATTTTCTTGCTGGATCTGCCTATATCCTTAATGCCTTTTCATGGTGCCGGCTGGTCCTCGGTTTTATTTCCCGTGAAGCGGTTTTATTTCCTTACTATGGTTACCCCGGCGGAGCTCACTGGATTCCATCTGTCCCTGTTTGCTTGCCTAGCCGCCACAAACGCCGCAACCCAACAAAATGAAGACATTGGTCAACCCCAGAAGGGCTTCCAAGTTTCTGGTTGCCACTCGGCAACGGAGTGTTTCCAAGGTTTGGAATCAACCCCTAGAACCTGGGTCCTTCAAAATCAATCCTCAATGTCAATTCTTGTGTCAGATAGTAGTTGTTTCCCTTGTTATCGTGGTGTCCCACTTTGGATGCACACACCAACACCCCTCTAGATGAAGCTTGGCAAGGGACACTCAGCGTAAATTGGCGCGGCCGCGTCCTTTCAACTCCCCGCATCTGGGAATACAATTTTAATTTCAGGCCTCAGGGTTCGGAATACCAGACACTGTGACGTTTCATCTCAAAGGGTCCAAAGGCAACTCTCAGGATATGGGCATACTTGTTTCGCTGGACTCCCCCTACTTTCTCCCAGGTTCAAAATCTGAAGCACCGTCCCAACACCCAGCGGGGACCCGCTTGCTGCTGACGTCCCCTCGGCTCGAATCGGCCCCAGGCATGTCCCAGCGGCTCCGCGAGCGATCCAAGTCCAGCCGGCTCATCAGCTGGGGCTCCAACGCAGCGGCCAACGACCGGCGCGAATCCATCGATCCCGCTTCGGCGTCGGATTCCGTCGGTTTTGGAGTCCAAGCTGGCCTAGGTCCCCCAGTGCCTGTTTGCCCTTTTTGGGGGGAGGAGTGCGGAGTCATACTAAAATAGACTACAGAAAAAAAGGTACCCTTATTCGTACCTCTCTACTGGAGGACCTAGTGGCATAAGCTGGCGGCGTAGGCAAAGCCTTGCGTAAGCCAAAACGTGCGTGCTTGTTTTTGTGGGTTTGCATACGCGGGTGCGTACGCAAGATAATAATACGTAGCAAACATGATAGATTCCTGACATGGCTCAAACTGCTTTTACATTGAACCTGGACATCTTGCTCAGGAGGGAAGAGCAACCAGGCTGCCCAACACAGAACTAAACGACTCACTCTCCATTTCAAAAGAGAACCCATGTTGGCCATCTGCTTTTGTTAAGATTCGGGAAGATGAGCCTTGTATTCCAGGTCCTTTGGGTGAGTGAGAAGCAGGTGCTGCAATTGCTGTTCAGTGACACCCTCTACGCCACTTTGAGTGGCAGCCGTTGAGCCCTCAGCCCCTTCTTGGGGGCCTTTCCCAGGGTTCCCCAGGTACTTGCACTATGCGGATGTGTGCTCCTTCCACGCGTACCCAGCGTGGTACCCCAGTGACGCCCCCGGCAACCTCGAGGAGGTCAAAGGGATACCGCTGATTTGGGAGGCGGGTTCCAGCTTTGACGGATCGAGCCGAGCGGAGTTGGGGCAAAAATTGGTTCAAGCCAGTTTACCCCGGCAAGTGCCCTGCCCTACCTAGGGGGGAGCCAAAAGGGAGGCCGCGTCAATCGTGAATTCACCACCCAGCAGCTTGCCATCGGCATGCTTGAAGAGAAACCCCTCGGATCCCAAGACCATTTTCAGATGTGGGCCTTTGACCCCAAAATGCCTCAAAGAATAGGGTCTTTTACACCCGGAATAGAGAATCTGAGAATCGTTCGAAAATTTGCTGGGCTGTGCCATGGGTTTGCCTCGCTCAATTGGAGCAGCGGTCCCCTCGGCCAGGCCTACGGCCGCTATGTGGCAGAGCTCTTTCCAGAGAAGCCGTTGCTCATCACCGAGGCACGCCACCTGAGTTGCAACCGGTGCGTGAAGAACCGGATCTGACCGGATCTGACGTTTCCTCATTTTGGAGTCACACATTTGTTCAAGGATGTTTTTCACATGCCGATTGTTTGGCAGGCGGTCGTTCTTTTTTACCATGCAGTTGTTTACATGAACCATTGCATCGCTTTTAGGGGCAACAGAGATAGAGGCGGTTGCCAAAGGTGACCCCTGACTTTTGCTCCAGATCCTCATCCAGACAAGATTTTGGCTGGTTCTCGCTCTTCCAGCGCCCTTTTAGCACAGGAATCCGCAGGTGGGGTGGGGCATCCAAAAGAGACCAAAGGCGGAGAGGCCCTAGGCCCCAGATGCTCCAACAAACGGGTTGCAATGGCTTTCACGTATCATCCTGGAACCTCTTGGTGCCTTTTTGTCATTTGTCGTGGTTTAAAAGGAAGTCACACCGAAAACCACGTGTAAACGGGGTTCCCCCAAAAAGACACGTCCATTTACGAGAACATGCGACAACCCATTGGGGTCACCCAACACGGCCTGCGCATAGGCCGGCGCTGGGGGGCTCTACGGACACCACGGGCCAAGTGAAGAGAAGTGGAGCGAGGAGTACCAGAGCCCCTTGTTTGCGCAAGCCACGTCGAATTGACGAAGCGACCCATTAAGATCTCACCGTCTTTTTTTTGCCAAACAATGGGTCAGAGTCGCGAATCAATTTGTTGATGTCACCTTTTGGTTTTCCAAAATGTTCGGCCATTCCAAAAGGTGAACCTCTTAATTGTCAGGTGGCAAGTGACTCGACGGTCGAGCCTGCAACGTTGTCGCACCCAGGCGTCCGGGTTGAAAATGGGCAGATGTTGACGAAGCGGTTCTAATCCTGGCGAGCTCAACCGGAGCGAAAATGACCTCATTAATGTGGAATTGTTCTGAAACTCTCAGCGCCCAAATGGACTTTGGGTTGATTTGTCCTCTGGAAACCACACATCTGTGCGGGGGTTTTCCATGTTTGCTCCAACATGGAGAGCTGAATAACTCTTTTCTCCTTAGGCACCACTCACAAGCAGAGGCCATGGCCTCTTTTTGTGGGCTCCCTGTGGAGGGAGCGAAGCCGTGCACCAGTTGAGATGGCGGATACCCTAGGAATATTAGGATACACCTACTCGTACCAGGTGCGAAGTAGGTTTTTTTCCCACAGCAGGCTTTTGACTTTGTTTTGCTTTTGTCTTGCTTTTGTCTTGTTCATGGCCGCAAGTGGTGAACCATTGGGTTGCCCATAAGCCAAAGAACACCGATCCGTGTGAGGTTCGCATCAGGTTTCTGGCTGGCTCGTAGCCATCCCCTTAGCTTTTTGGATGTTTCTTGGGTTGAGTGGTAGATTCCATTTCACCCACTGAAAGTTGAAAACTTCGAGCAAGGGATCTGAGGGCCCAGGTGGCCATGGTTCAAAACCAATGGTACCATTTTGGGATAGGTGCACCACCCATTTTAGAACCTATTTTAGTGGTTGGATTGGGATGTTCACTGGGGGGTAACCGGGGTTTTCACCCATGGTCAGGTTTTTGCTCTTGGAAGCTTAGGCCTTTTGATGCAGATGCACTACCTCTCCATCTTCACGAACCCCTCGATCGCGGGCCTGGCCTTGTGGCAGTTCGCCGACGTGCCCATCGACCGCCAAACCTCCTCGGAGGAGCATCGGCCCAGGGGGCTCAACAACAAAGGCGGCGCAAAGCGAGAGAGTGCCCGCCCCCCCCACCCCCTCCCCCTTCTTTTGTTTACCCAACAGGCACCAACGACATACCAAAAAACCCTTGCCTGCAGCTTGGCTTGCCTTTTCCCCAAAAAAGACAAGGGGGAGGACAGCAGGCGGGGACCTTGTAGTGGTCTCATGCTCACGCGTTCTCAAAGTCCCCAACACCTATTTCCTGAACAGGAATAATGTGGGGTTGGTACAGCTTTTGGTCTTTTTAGAATGGTAATTTTGAGGGATTTTGTTTTGCTCAGCGAGAGAGGCAGGGTGAAGGCATAGGTCTAGACAACTTTTCACAAGGATTCGGGGGTAAAACCAGCTGAAGGTTTCCTCGAAGTTTTGTTCTTTTTCTCTCTTTTTTTTATCACTGATTTGAAGGCATTGTGGAGGGACAACATCTATGCCATGCCCCAGAGTTTCCCATGTTTTGTTCATCCGCGGTATGTACATTGCTCAGCCTGGACACTAGTGCACCATATCACTAGTGCAATGCATCCCTTCTGGCAGCCACTTTGGCAGAGGGTGGGGTAGATAGGCATGGTTGTCTCCCTGAATGAGATGTGGAGTCATCAAGTTTTAGCTCTATCTACTGAAAACACACCATGTTAGACAGACAGCAGCAAGAAGTGCCCGCCCAACGCAGTGTTTGAAGCCACTGAAAAGAGAGCCGAAAAGGGTGACGAAACGCCCTGCCACTGGAGAAAGCACCGGAAGTCTTCAAGCCGCCAAGCTACCAGCGCCCTGACCAAACAGTGTTGTTAACCCATAGCAGTGACCTCCCAAAGCAGTGACCTCCCGTTTCGAGTCGTCCGCCAGCGCGAGTCCGAGCGAGCGACTCGCGAGGCGTGCTGAGCCTCAGCCGCCAGCCCAAGCTCGCCTTCCAGGCGCTGCGCCTGCTGCGCGCCTCGGATTTTATTTTGTGTTTTATTTATTTCTTTTTCGATATCGATATATGGGTTTGTCTCACAATAGGGGAACCCCCAACATGGGCGGTTTCCTTTTGGTGTTCCTGCAAGCCAGATTTCATGGCCTAAAATGATTCGATTCCCCTGTAAATATCAACGAAGGATGGCTTCCCATGGTTTCAAAGTGATGCGAAATTGATTTTGTCCATCCACAGTATGGCTGTGGTTGTCAAAACCGTTTTGGGATCCCATTTTGGTTGGTAGGTGAATTCACCACCCATTTTAGAACCTATTTTAGTGGTTGGATGGGGATGTTCACAGGGGGTACGGGATTTTGACCCATGGCCATAAGCTACGAGTCATATATCATAAAGTATCTATGGAATTAATTTATTCATTTATGGATTTAGATATAGATATGTGTGCATACGTATTATATTGTACATACATATGTATATATCTATACATATATACATGTATATATGACAAATGTATGAACATTCCGAAACATATATATATATATATATGTGTGCAGTCATGTTCATGTTTGAAAGATAGTACTTCTGTAAGGGTGTCTGTTTTAGAGTTGGCAGCCTTGCGGGATGGTTTTAAAGGGAAGCCAAAAGGGGAGGGTTCTATTTGGAGACATGCCCCTTTGCATATGTATGTGTACATATACGTTATATGTGCATTCATACTTTGGGCTAGACTAGAAAATGATGATTCTGTATCTACAATTGTTTATGCGTATCTCCTGGTACCATTTTTGGGTAGTCCGCTGGCGGGCATGTTGTCGGGTATCCATACTTGTCCGCTGAGTGGGCCAAGTTTAAGCTTGGTGTTGGCAGGTTTCTTTGTCAAGTTGAGCCAAGCAGGTTTCACTTTGGTGCCATGTTTATTCACCAGGGTTGCTCTAGTCTGGCTTGCTTGGATGTATGAGTGAGCACAGAGTCTGTGTTATTTTCCCAGTATGTTGCATATGCTGACCGAGGCAACCGCAAGGAGGGCGAATACTTTGGTCTTATTCTGCCTCCGGAGGATCGGACAATTCGGAATCAGTGGGAGGTGCTTGCAGTGTGCTGGATGTGTTCTGCCTTTGCTCACCGATTCGTGATTCGTGTTTGATTTTTTTGTTGGGGGGGTTCCCTTCAAGCATGCTCCAAGATCTGGATCCTGGGTGAACAGTAGGAAGCCTCCTGGATTAACATATCATGAGACCTCCAGTCCAGGGGTTGTATTGGAGGGAGTATTGATGCTTACTTCTTTAGTTGAAGCTCCGCTTTTTTAAGGAGCCATGCTGGTTGAGTTTCAATGATATTGGGGAAGACCTTGGGTTGAGTTTCCTGTTGACAGGACTAAAGCGGTGAATAAGGAGCCCCATCGTTCCATTGACGTTGCGAACCAGGCTTCAAATCGTATCAAAATGCAGCACCTTCAGCAGAACAATTTGGAGGACCCCTTTGATCCATGGCTCGTTATATCTGCCTTTGGCAACTGCAGGCGCCCTTTCCCCAAAAGGTGCAAATGGGTCCCGGAGCTGTGTGCGTTTAGCATCCCAAAGGCAAGGTCGCACTAGACAACCCGACATCCCACTTGAAAAATGGATTGGCCAAACAAAGGCTCCAATATTCTTGTTTGCCACCGAAATTGGCTTGAAATACTCCCGCGTCAATGAATTCGACTGCCCCAAACAAATCATGGGGAGTGCGCAAAGAGGTGGACAAACTTTTGGAATGTGCAAAGGGGAAGAATAGGAAATCCATCGCCGGCTTTAGGATCCTTATTTCCAAACTATTCAGAAGCCAGCTGATTGGTTGTTTCAGAATTTCGCACAAGTTGTGGGTTTGATCTTTGCCACCCCCACCCGCTTTGACCCCTGTCCCTTGCCCCCTCCCCCGAACACAAAATCCCGACTGTCCAAAACGCATGGGTTATTCGAGGGATTCGGAGATGGGACACAGCGTTTTTGTTGGGGCCCGGGTGTTGTGGATGGCGTCCGTTGTTCTCCCGCTGTATCAAAGTTGGGGTAGCCGCAAGATGGTGGGTATTGGTGGGTTTTCTGGCTGTTTCTGAACGAGGGTTTTTTCACCCCCCCCCCCCCCCCGCCCGACTCGATCCGCGCAAAAAACAAATACAAAACGCGGCGGCAGTTCCGACTCGGTTCCTTTTTCCAGGACTCGGAGCGCCTCACAGGCCTCTTCAAGGTGTGATGCGGAGAAAAGGATGCGGTGCTCAGTTTTAACCCGAAGTGTCCAGTCCCAGGGCTGTGGTACAAGGGATTCTCCCCCTTTATACGGGGGTGGGGGTGGGGGGTTAGCTTTTTGGTGGTTTTGCTCGAGAAAATAGATGGCGATTCCTGGTTGAGCTGGTGGGTTTTTCTCATCTACCAGGGATATCCATCTACTTCCAAACTAAAAAGGACGCCGATGCGGTGCTTCGTTTCCAGTCCCGGGGTTGTGGAATCACTCGGCGTTTGTCCAACCACTTCTGTGATACCAAGGGAATCGTCACCCTTTATACGGAGGGGGCGGGTTCGTCTTTGGGAAAGCGTTTTGGTTGTATCACAGAAGTGGTCATTTCCCACAGCCCGTATTGCGTCTGAAAAATATATGGGCACCCCCAAAATGCATTTCCTAGTTCCCAATCTAGGTCCCCCAGTAGTGCTCTTTCTCACCCTTTTTTTGGGGAGGATTCCCCTAGTAAAAAAAAGACTACGGAAAAAAAGGGTACCCTTATTCCAACCTCTCTACTGGAGGACCTAGCAATAAAAAAAAAAAAACCCAAAAAAGAGTACGCTCCAAGAAAATGAGGAGTGGCTCGCTATGTGTCAGATGTACCCTAACATCGATCCTGCGCAGGAACCGGCCCTTTTTAAGGGAAGATAACCCTTGGTTCCATGTTGGGAGGGTAATGGGAACCCCGGATCTAAGCATTGGTTCATGGGAGGGCGGCCTCATGATTTCCAGTGAGGCAACTGGTTGTTCGTTGCATCGCCAAAGTTTTGACTCCAAATGGTGTGAAGATGGCAGCTGACTTGTTTTCCACCGCCCTTTTGGGGCGGTTTTCTTGGATGGTTCTTCCGATGGAGAAATCAACCACCGGGTTTGTCAAGAGTGAGACTCTACAGAGCGAGAGTGACTAGCGAGTGCCCATGTCGACTCGGCACAGACACGGCAACTAAGCCGCTTCGCAGCATTGGCTCAAAGGGCTGTGAGTATCTCAGTCCACTTATGGCCATGTAGAGCGATCTGACCGATTGACCATAGCACAGCCAGACAATCACAGACACTTCATAGTGGATACGGAGGATATATGCGCTCGCCACGGCCTACTTTACTCGAAGCAGGGGTCTCAGCGGGGCTGCTGGAGAATACAATGCCTGCAGCTCCAGTGGGGATTTTCCTTTTTTGTCTCAGCCAACATGTTCCAAGGTGGTTTCTCCCTTCAAACAGGGGTTTCAACGAACCAAAGCAAAGGTACCTTGCTTTCCCGCGGCAAGTGGAAGGTCTGGGGATACCTTCGGAAGAACACTCCGCGAAGTGGGTCACAAGGCCTTCAACATTTGGCCCAAACATTCGACGCCCTTTCTCCTTGCTTTGTGCTTGAGGGACGCCGGGGTGCCGAATGCAGGGCTAAGCTTGTTTCGAGGGTTCAAGTCTCCCAGGAGGACCCGGAAGACCACTCGGAGGAATCCCCTGACATGAATCGATTTGCTACCAAGATGGGCTTGCCACCTTTAAAGGATTTGATGAATGTGGTCCTCTGACATAAATCCGATGTTGACCTTGTATGCGATGTGCAATTCATGTATATACATATGTGCCTTGCTTTCAGCGTTTTAAAATCGCTAGCTTTTGGGTTGCCACAGGGGCAAAGCACCCGGACTGGGCCCCGTGGGACTGTTTTGACGGCTAATGTCAGCGCATGAGGGTGATTGTTGCCATGGTCAAACATATGGGGCAGTTCAGCGCCTTGAGTCACCTTATGGAACCCCAAGCGGATCCCTATACATCCCTCGGGCGGGACGATGTTGTTTGTTTGTTTGTTTTCCGTCTTGAGGGGTAAGCAGCTTTACGAGCCGGATGGCTACCAGCAATAAACAATTCAATAATGAGCTGTAAGAAGTTCAACAGGAAATCCATGTTGTAGGTGGGCAATTATTTGGCCAGCTTCTTGTAAACACTTCACGTGATTTCTGGAAAACTTGAAGATTAGAGTGCCCACAAGACCGCTGCGACCCCCGCACGTGTGCGATTGCAATCGCATGCGCCGCCCGCAGCTTTTCAGAGGCACAGATCGGAATGGCATGGAGGGTCGAAAGGTCAACCGTTTGTTTGGTCTTTTGCATAGACCAGCTGAATTCCGGATGTGTTGCTACATTCTGAAGCCCCAACGTGCGATCCATGCTCCTTTGTCTACTCACGTTTTTGTTTGGCATTAATAGAAAGAGGATCTCTTGGGAGAAGTACAGGCATCACATTGAGCGGTCAATCGCTTCAGCGCAAGACTGGCGCGCACGCTCGGAAGAATCTTTGCCATTGGCGCTTTTGCTGCGATGCGCCTCGGAATTCATGTTTGGGGTTTGCCGAACCTATGGGTCTGTCTTTTTGGAGGGTCCCCTGGTTGGTTTCAACACGGGAATCCTTCTTTCATTCCCTGGCTGCCTACTGAGAACCAACAGGCAACACAAATTTTCCTTGTGGCCTCGTCCCCGGCGTTCCCGCAGCTCCAAGTAGAGAAGTTCTGGCGCCTCTGGGCTTGACTCATTGACTGGAGATGGGTATGGGTCAAAAGGAAACCACTAGGAATTGGACCACAGGGTTTAGTCTTTGGCTCCATTTACCAGGGGAAGCCATTTTGGGTACCGGTTTTTGACCCACAGCCAATATGAAGCAGAATCTGAACCTCTTATCTGCCAGTGTAGATGTGGGGAAAGATTCAGGGTTCACGGGTGTGATCCTACGATACTTTCGCAGGCTGTCAGACAAGGCTTAAGCCTGGTGAGGGGAGCGACGGGGGCTTTGAACCCCATTTAGGGTGGGTTTCTTAAGTTATACATCCAACACCACCTTCTTTACAAGGGGATCCTGTCAACCAGCTTGTAAAGATGTTTTTGCGGAGGGGGCCACATATAACATATATCCTTTCTTCGGGTCCCTGCTTGAAGCCCGTCAGAAGGGGAAGTGGATCTTCGTATTCTTTTGGTGGGCTGTTTTGCAAAGAAGCGCTTCGGCCAGCCGTTGCCTGCCCTGTTGGGGGGGGGGTCTCTTACTCAGTTGACCCTTTTTCCCCTTCTTTTTTGTGGCTGCCCCACTAAAAATGGTCTTCCCCAAAAGGGTTTCCTTTTTGTACAGGGTCACTGACCCCTGAGCTGACGGCGGTGCGGGGTAAGCCGCGCACCGTGGGGAGTCGCGTGCTCGGGGACGCCGAGGTATGTGCCGGTGCTGCCGAGCATGGGGAGCCCCGCCTCGCCGGTGTCGCCGGTGCAGCTGGGCCGTATCCAGGCGCTTCGCTTCGAGCAGTCGCCAAGCCGGGGGGGGAAGGGAAGGAGGCGGAGGAGCTCGGGGGTCCTGGGCAGGGTACCCTTTTCACGGTTGTCGTTGGGAAACATTTTACATTTTTGTTTATTGTGGTTTAGTGGGAAATCCCCACTTAACTGCTAAATTTTAGTTTTTTGCTCCCCTTCCAACGTCAAGCAAGTTTTTGGGTTGGTGTTGGTTGGACACCGCCACAACCACCCCCCAACTTTTGAGACGGTGTTTATTGAAACATCGAGTTGGACACCACCAAGAATTTCGCCCCCCCCCCCCCCCCGCAATTGATGTACCCGGTTTGGGTTGGTGTTTGCTGGTGCGATAGGTCGGGACTGACCCAGTTTGGGAATGAGCCGCAGAGGAATTCCCGAATAAAGGAAACCATACGGGATGGCTATTATAGGGGTCATCCCCTCATTCTGCTGAGAACCAGCAAGTTCTTGAAAAATCGAGTTGCACACCTCAAGCATTATAGACACCATTTTTGGCAGGTCACGTGGTTCAACCAGCGTCCCTTTGTCCAGTTGAACTGTTTGCAGGTAAATTTGCTCTATCACCAACCGCCCTCAAACCCTCAAACTTGCCCAGGCAAATCGACCTTGCACAAACGTTTGGTGTTCCCGTCTTGGCAACTTTTGGAGGCCCCTGACTGACTCCATCATTTCCACTATCAAAGAAGTCACCCCCGCTCGGTGGGTGTCTGACACCAACAAAAACATAGTTTGTGAACCATTTGGCAACCGAGTCTTTTACCACTCCTTGCTCCCAGTTTCCGACAAAACATTGGCTCAAAATGACCATCAAAGTCACCCTAAGTGGTGGGTCAAAGGGAAATTCACCCCTGTCTCTGACAACAATCATCGGGTTACATGGAAATCCACGTTGCAGGGAAAAGTTTCTGACAACAATTGTCGAGGACAATTCATCCCTAGAAATGGTGCCTAAGGGTCATTTTTGCCCCATTCTCTTTCTATCAAACCAGGTGCTGGAGATGGAGATCCGGCGGCTCAAGGCGCTGGAGAAGGCGCGGGCACCAAACTGGACCATACGGATGCGATCTACATGCTGTGGATGGACAAAATCCATTTCACACCACTTTGAAACCATGGGAAACCATTCTTTGTTGGTATTTACATGGGAATCATAATTTTAAGATTCGTAGACGGTGCAGGATTTCGTCCACCCTCAGTATTGCCTTCTTCCATTTGCTTTGAACCCGCTGCAGGTTATACGCATAGCTGCATATTTGCTTCCAGTTGTGTTTTTCTTGCTTTTCCTTCTTTCTTTCTTTTGACGGGAATCTATACTGGAAACATGTTTCCCAGGGGGGCAAAGAAGAAAGTGGAATCCTTGGAGTACAAGGAATGCCTGTAAATTCAACCATGGTGTATGGTTGCTTTACTTGCATGTTGAGTTGGCATCCACCGTGCCCCTAACCCAAAACAAGGAATAAGTACGGGATGAAGAGAGGGGTACCGCAACTCCGACCGACTTTGGTCACTCGTCATCCCCTTTACTTGCCCACAAAACGGAAATTGTGCCATCTACTTCCACGGTCGCGCAGGCTGAATGATTCGTTTACTCCTGTTGGACTTCTCATGACTGACTGGCAGGTCATGTCTTTCTTCTATATAACTCTTGCTGGAGGGTGTTGTGCCTTTCCATTTAAGAGGTTTTTTGGATGGGGGAACTCCGTTAAGGTCAAAAACATACCAAGCACAGTTCTCATTGTCCGTTTGTTTGTCCCATGTTGTTCTTGCACTTTGCCAAGCGACAGTGTATCACGCCAGTTCCCCTACACAGTCACCAGGAATCAGAATTAGGGCAACACAATCCCACGACTATGCGGACCTTGATGAACCTGGTGCGAAAGTTACCCGGCAAACAAAAGCTTGGCTTTCAGGATTCTCGGCAAGTACATGCTGACAAAACACTTGGATGTCAAGGACCACGAATGCACATCAGACCCTTGCATATTCAACTTACGGCTGAAGCTTGATCCGGGGGTAACGAGCTCGCGCTCATGAGGAAGTTACTTGGGCATTTCTGCTTGCAGGTTTCGTGAATACATTCTAATTCGGCCAATCTCTCAGATAGCTTGTGACACATTGACTTTGGTTGGGCGCCCAGCTTGGAAAGCAATTCAGGCACAATCTAGTTAGCCTGCCTTCCCGTAATTCTCTTGTATCATGGACGCAGAAGGTGCTTGGACCAGGGTTCAAACCAAATTCAGTCACACGAGAATCGTGCATGTACCGCATGTATTTTGTTCATACGTTCTATCCGCAGCAACTCAGCAATACCATAGTAGCCGGAGCTGGGTGTCCCCCCAATTGTTCCCTCTAAGTGTCCTTGGTTTTCGCCCGAGTGTCCCCTCATTGTTCTTGGCTTTTTTGTCGTTGACCCGCGTTTCCCCTAGCTTTCCCTGGCTTCTTGGTTTTCGCCCGGGCGACTCGCCCCCAAAACATCCCGCCGCCGGCGCGAGCGCCGCGCGTCCCGCACGCGCCAGGCCAGCCTCCCGGCCTCGCTGCCGGCCCAGCTCCCCAGCCTGGACGCCTCCCCCAAGGAGCCGAGGCCGAGGGAGCCGAGGGAGGTGAAGGAGAAGGTGTCGCCGGAGCATCTGGAGCTGATGAAGGCTGGAGCTTTGGAACAGCCGTCGTGTTGGGGGGTGGATGGTCAAACGCCATGAAACAAAAGGCGGTTAAGATCAGGCAGCTGGAACTGTTGCTGAGTTGACCACAGGACTGCGGCACAAATATGATGCTCGTAGTGCATGTGTTGACAATGAAATCCCCAATGACGGCCATGGCGGAGCCGTTAAGTCGCTGAGATCAGTGAGATCTCAGCCGGAGCTTTTGAACAGGAGCCGTTTGTGGGGGGAGGGGGGGGGGCCAAACCTCAACCACCATAAAACCAAAGGTGGTTAACATAACCGGCAGGAGGTCTTGGAAACAAATTAGTATGACTCCATTATGTACGTAATCATTGTCCTGTGGAGTTTGGAGGTTTGGGGGTCAAACTTCAAACCACTATTAAAAGAAGGTTGACATAACCACCATGATTTACCCAAGGAGTTTTCATCCAAATTGGGTTCACCATTCTTTTATTGGGGGGGGGTGAATCCTAGAAAGAGGTGGGACAAGGCATGGAAAAGGCAAACCTCGAGGAACTCTTGTTGTGCCATGCCCGCCCTCCATATCCCTCCATGATTGCTCCGTGGAGCCGCGTTTTGGCATGCACGTTGCGTCACCCAGAATTCCACTTTGGGGAGTGCAACCTCTTAAATACGGGGTATTTAAGGGAGTTGCCGCCTGGAGCCCCCGTGTTGAGGCGCAGCAGTGGCACCTGTTATGTCAGGTTGACCTTTCAAATCAAGAATTCGACCTATCGACATAGGGAATATAATTGACCCAGATAGGGCATGAGGTTTGTTCTTCTTTTCTTTTTTTTCAGGACCCTCGAATTAATTTCAACTTGCTTGAAAGGGTTGAAACCTTTGTCCAGGCGTTCAGGGGACCAATTATTTGTGTTTAACCTCCTTGTTGTTGATTCCCAAAAAAGTGGTTTCCTTGTACCAGCTTGGTGCCCACTGAGCACGGTGTAAGCGGCACTGCAGCCACAAGTCTGTTCCTGCGAGGAGACGGTTTCACCGTTTAAAAGGCTGGGCGAGGTTCCCGGCTCGAACCACAGCCCGGCGATGCGTAAATCGCGCCAGCGCCTTAGCAATTCTCGCCACACATCCGGCGAAAGGCAAAGCTGGATGCCACCAGGGGCGATCGATCCCCGAAGCAGAATCCAAGGAGACGAACTGGATCCCACCATCGGCTCTGGCCTTCCCCGAAATCGGTCCGTTGATTGCTGCAGCGAGTTCAATCCAGCGGAATGCTGTACATCAGCTCAGGCTCGCTGGGCTTGAAACCATTTCACAAATCGGTCAGGGAACGAAATGCCAAAAGAAGCGGCGCAAGGACTCTGAACCCAGACTTCACTCCAGTTGTCTGGGAAGAAAAGCGGGGCTGGCGCACTCAGAGCTTCGCGTGGATGTCGCTCGTCTTCCTGCAAGCAAGGGTTCATCCCCATGAGCTCCCTCAGACAGTTTGCGTTGACGTTCTCCAGCAAGATCCATTTGAAAGGCTCTCAGCCTGTCCACAACATCTCTCTGGATAGAAGGTGGGGCATGCGTCTCCAAATCGCCTGCAGTCGCCGGGTCAGAGGGCGCGAACTTCGCTGGCAGCTGCCGCATCATACCAGTGTGCCGTCAAGTGAAGCGGGCCTGTACTGGCCCAGAGCTTTTGGTACCCTTCTACGCAGTTCAGTTGCGCCGTTCGTCCAACTCTTTGTTTGGGTTCCTTCAGAAGGTTGAACTCTTTCTACTCTCACTGAACAGGGCGGTTGACTTTACTTGTTGGTTGTTCTTTGGGTGGACTTGGGTGGGATTTGGGAGTATCCCTTCTTCCCTTGTTATGGTTCACATTGTTTTTTACCTTTTCCATTGTGTTTGTTTCCTTTCCACTTGTTCACTTCCTGTTCTTTCCATTTTGCACATTGCTCGGTCGCTGGGAGGCGCACCGCGAACTGCTGCAGGCGCGGCTTCCCTTCAGTTTTTTTTTTTACTTTTGGCTCAGCACAAGTCTAATGAGTTTTTAAACCACTGGAGGTCCACTGCAACGTTTCGGGCGTTGAGCATCGCTTTGAATCACTCTTTGGCTCAGTCTAGTGAGTTTTGTAAACCACTGGAGGTCCACTATATACTTTGACAACGTTGGAAGCACCATGATGTCAAACAAAAGGTCCGGGCTTAGCCCACTCAAGTGAGCTTTGGGGCCGGCACGTCTGGAATCCATTGGGCGAGCCCTGCCACGAAGCACTTGGGATTCTTGCTGCATTTGTGTCAACATGCAAGCCTTTCCAACCGAAAATGCGATCCGGCTTCAGCGTGTGCCTTTGGCAAATCCTTTTTGGGGTTAAACATAGCTGTGTGCATCTTGCTTGGATGTTAGGACTTTAACATTTTGCCAGCTAATGGGTTTTCCATCAAACCAGTAAAAGTTTAACTTTTAGCTGGGGAGCAAGCGAGATAGCATGTTTGGCTATTTTAGATGTGCGTTTTCCGTCGTTGTTGCGGGGACCTGTTCCGGACCTTCTGGTTGAGTGGGTCATTTCTACCAGACCGCCGGTCCTTTTCAGATCAGTGATTCCAGTTCGCATAGGTAGCCGATCGCTTGCGAATCACTTACAAACTGAAAGGAACATGGCGCAAAATTAGGGGTGTGTACATTTGGGTGTGTTTTGTTGGGGAGCCTCCCAAAAATGATAAACCATGATGGTGTTCCTTTTGGTTTGCCCTTCAAACCAATCGAACGGGTTCCAAAAAAATAGACTCACCCATTTGTTCGTGGTGTAAACAGTCCATTTTTAGGTGAGCTTTCCTAGTAGGAGTGATGTTTTGGGAGAAGGATGACCACACTGGCGAATCCGGACCCCTAAAGGTGGCAAGCGTTTGCTAGGCCCCAGGGCCCTGAAAACTTCCATTTGCTTAGGAATATGTTCTATTTTCCCCTGTTGGTTTTTAACGGAATCTATGACTATATTGGAAATATGTTCCTATTTTTCCAGGGGGCCCTAAGCAAACGGAGGAACAAGGCTCAGGCTTGTTTCCTCTTGTCGGTTTACAAGGGGGGGTTCCGTTTTTCCGACTTTCGGCTCAGATCTGAGCACGCCGGGCATTTCGCGAGGTGCTCCAAACTCAGGCCACCAGCCACGAGGCCGCGGGGATCGTGTTTGATGTGGGAGGCCAAGAAGATGGAGTGTTTTTGGTATTTCCCAGGCCTAGAAATCGGGATTGCTCATGGGTTGGATCTTTAGACCTTGACTGTTGGGTTGCCTTCTTTTTCTCTAAATTGGTCCAGTACCTCCTAAGGATGGCTTTTGGGGGGTAAAAAGGGGTCGTCCAGTACCTCCTTGGAAGGTACTTGGAAAACCTGGGAGAAGAAGATAGAGTCTCAGAGGTTTCCCGGACAAAGGAATGTGGATCGCACATATATTTACCTTGTTTGTCGAAATCAAGGGTTTGCCGAATTGAACCCACAGACTGTTAAACTTCTTGCAGGGGGGATTGCAACAAAGACATGTCATGGGTATTCTTGCCCCCTTGTTTTTTTCTTCTCCGTTTGTTTTGGTTTGTTCTCAGTTCCCGGAAGACTGCTTCAGCGGCAAGGACAAAGTTTGGCCAATCCACTCAGGAACTGAGATTCGCATGAAACGATCCCCTTCAGGAAATGATGACTTTCGGGCTGCATGCTAATTTTGGCACGGCCTGCAGAGAAACGAACCAGAGAAAGGAGGCCGTGCTTTGTTCCGCTCTTTGGCTAGCGGCAGGAACAAGTGCCTGGGAAGACCCCCATAGATCCCGGCATTCAGGGCTTCCCAAACAGACCTTCTTGAGGCCGTAGCAAGGGGCTCTATGTTTTTTTTTGGGGCGTGGAATCCACCGGTTGAAACGGTTCGGACCTAAGTCACCCTGGAATCCAAGCCCTTTCCTGGTTTCCTTAGGCTGAAAGTTTGGGACTTTGCAGACAGAGCGGCAAACAGGTGTCCAGAAGCAGACACACCTGGATTCCCAATCAAAACCGCCTTTCCTCTTCTGAATTTCCTAGAGTTTCCCAGATGTTCTCATCAAAGGACGCCATCTTTGTGTTTTGACTAGGTCCCCCAGTAGTGCCCTTTTACCCCCTATGAAAGTAGACTGCAGAAAAAAGGGGCATACCCTCCTCTCTACTGGAGGACCTAGTTGAGGAGGGTTGATAGTTGACCTTTCCGACAAACCGCCTCAGGAGCTCACGCGCCAGCACACGGAGCTTTTGAAGGCGCACCAGGCGCTCCTCGCCTCGGCGGTTTCGCCGGCGCCGGCGCCGGCGGCGCGTGAGGCGCCGGCGCCGTTGACGCCGGCGCCGCCCCCAAGCAACGCCCCGAAGGGGCGACACATGCGGAAGGCACGTGGGGGGGGGAGGACGTTTTTGGCGCCCCAAAGCGAATCCACCCGTGTTTTGCATTTTCGGGGGGTGGGCGATTTCGACAGCCTGGGTCGAAAATGTTTGGGCCATTTCTTCCGTGATCCGGGAAGGAGGTTTTAATTTCCAGGTCGGAGAGTGGCGGTTTGGGGTGGCGCTCTCTTGAAGCTTTGTCCGTTTTTACCGCCGCTTTCTAAGCAATCCCAGAGACTGCCTTGGTATTTTCAATGGTTTTTGGTTGGACTGGTTACAAAGGCTTCGTCTACTACAAATTCCCCAAATCCATTGGATTGCATCGCTCTAATCTCTGAGCGCTCGAAGAGCAGGGTGCTTTTCCCTGGAAGTTGTGATTGAGATTTGGGTGGACGCCAATCAGTGGGTCTAGGCCTGGCAACATCTTAGTTCCTTAGGCTTTTTTGGAACGTCTCAGTGGCGCGCACAGGACGCAATGTGGGCTTGTCCGTTGAACCTGCCAAAAAGTGGAGCTGATGTTGGTCTGGGCGTGTACGGTGGCTTCCGTAGGAATGTCCTTGTTCCCTTCTTGGAGCACTTTGAGAATCAACCGTGCCGTTGGCTAAGTCGGTGGTACCAGAGATGTGAGAGAGAGAGGGAGAAGAAGATATGCAGCCGGTTGGTTTTTTTGTTGGAGGGGCATCCTCGTGAATGTTGAATGGCTTCGCCCCATTTAAGCGGATACACCATGCATAATGTATGCATGTATGTGTCCTCTTAGATATGTTATGCGTGCGTCGTGTGTGCAGCATTTGTAGCGTTTTCCGCCACAGACCCCCAAACCAGACCCCAAACTGGAAACATGGCGGTTCTGTCCTAGTGGGGGCTTGTGGATCCCATGTACGCTTTGGTTGCCCTTATTTACTCCTTTTTGGGGTGGTCAATCCATTCAAGGCATTGAGTGCCTTGTGCAGGCGAAGTCGCACTACTACGTCACCAACGAGGCGTAGCCGGCAGTCGCTGGCTCCAAGGCTATCGGCATGGACGCCTTAGGGGTGTACCCCTGCGTACGCCAATGTTATGGAAGAGCCACAGGGTACTTGTTGTTCGGCTCAGGTTATGTATGGACAAGCACCCTTCAAGGGCGTCATGTTTCAATTTCCAACCTCGGGAACTGATGCTGTTTGGACAGTTGAACATGAAAGACGGTGTCGTGGGGCAGGGTGATGGAATGCAGACATGTAATTAATGCATAAACATATAGATATACTATATGCATTCATATATAGATGTACGTATGTACATATGGCGTATGTACTTTGAGGGTTATTGGGTACACCAGCAGGGATACAAACAACAGTTCTTGAACCATTGATCAGCTGGTTCAGGATTGATGATTGTGGAGTGGGGCTGAACAATACAAGAGATAAAGCAGGTGTCACGTGGCATACGTTGAGTATGCACCGTCCATGCCTGGGCTCAGATTGGAGTTGCGACTGCCGACCGGAGACAGGATTGACCCAATGCCGATCAAGGAAATCCAGTTAGTTGGTAGGGTTTGCAGGCATGCTTTGCATCTACATCACCCGCAGCCAAAAGAGAATATGCAATTTCCATGGTGACTCTGATGATGTTATTGCCAAAACCCCAGAAACAGCCGCATTCTGATTCTATGACTCTTAGATGCCCATTGCAATATCGCAGCACAATTGGCAATAGACAACAAGACAATCCAGCCAGCAGCTTCCCTTAAGGGACCTTTTGTCTCTTTTTTTGGCCAGGAGTTGGAAGTGACCACGTTTACAGGTAGGATCTGTTTGCCCCAAGCCCCCCTTTGCTTCCTCCAGGTCCCCTTTGCTTCCTCCAAGTTGCACTTCTTTGGAAGCCTGCGCAGGGATTTCATTCAAAGATTAGGGTAAGGGGGTTGTTGGGGGAAGAGGTGAGGCTCACTCGAGTTCTTTCCACTTTGATTGAACACCACTTTAGTGGCAAACCTTTGGACCTTCTTTGGCCAACCCATGGTGGGTAGAGAGTCGGGGGTCCCTATATTTCCCTTTTTGGTGGTTTTCACATGTTTTTGGCCCATGAAAGGTGAGAGGTTTTTGGTGGGGTGATATGTTAAGGGGAAATATAGGGAGCCGTGAGAGAGTCGGGGGAGGTGAAGCTTCAGCTGCCCAGCAACCCCACTTTGCTGGACAACACCTTGCTCTTTCTTCCCGAGCGCGCCGTGCGGGATTACAACCTGGAGCCCAACTTGGACGACAAGGGCGACGCTTCGGCTGCAATTACTAGGTCTCTTAGTAGTGCCCTTGTACCCCTTTTTTGGGGGAGGGTTCCCTACTAAAATAAACTTATTCTAACTCTCTACTGGAGGACCTAGATGAAGTTCTCACCGGACATGTGCCGTTTTTTTTAAGGCTGGGGCACCATGCCAAGTCTCCGGGCGACTTTTCGATCTCGCAAGGCCGTCAAGAAAGCGGCTGGAAATGTTCGGTTGTGGTAGACTCCTGTGTGGAACGACCGGATCGTGCGGCGCTGATGTCTTCGACCGAATCATGTCTTCGATACACATGAATGAATAGATGCAACATACATACATACATACATACATACATACATACATACATACATACATACATACATACATACATACATACATACATACATACATACATACACACATACATACATACATACATATATATATATATATATATATGTATGTGTATAGTTGTTTCTGCATGTGTATGCTACCCGGCAGATGGACAACCAGTTGCCGTGCTTGGGTATCATCGGTATCACCTGAAAGAACGTCAGACTCAAGATGGGTTCATGACCAAAGCTGGCGTGGCCGATCCCTAGGCTGCAAAATGGGTGGTCGGATGTTACGACAAGTGTGCACCTGCGGTTTCAGCTTCACTGTAATCTTCGGCACTTTGGCAATTCCAGACTCTAGTATTTCCGGGAAGTCTAACCAATGTCAAGAGGTTATCGCAGGAGAAATGAACAGCACGCTGCATGTGCATCATGGCCTTTGCTTTTGCATGGGGTCTTAGGAATCCCCGTGGCTTTTGGAGGCAAGCCATTTTGTTAAACAAACAGGCAAACAAACAAGTGCAGGAAGTAGGACCACTGGGAAGATTTACTGCCATTTCACCCGGCCGTTTGGGAGCTTCCAGGGAATTGCTTGATCCCTGAGGTCATTTTGGTTGCAAGGGAACCCCCCAATCATGATTTCGGAATTGTTTCCCTCCCACCAAATATGGAACCTGCTGTTGGGGGGGGTTGGACCATTTTCCGTTTAAAGGGACCGGGTCCCGAACGTCAGGTTCTGGCTGTTGCTTGGGGGTGATGCTATTTACATGGTCTCCATGACAGGACTCTGAGAAGTACATGTGGTTCGGCCGCGTTTGGGAGCTCCGGGCGCTCGTGGACCAGATGTACCAGGCAGTCTTCAACCGGCTGTAGCGTTTGTGTTTTTTTTTTTTTTTTTTTCGTGTGACTCAACTTGTTGGTAGGCTAGGCCCAAAAATTGCAAGTGCGGGTTTTGGGGGTATGTGGGGTTGGTTTATCTGTGATATTTAGAAAATCCAGCGTGTGAATTTTCGGGCCAGGTGATGTAGACAGCACCTGGTTTGACCAGCTGGCCAATTTCCCCGACGCCTTTGCTGGCATTTCCGGCTGGTATGGCTCGAATCAGGTCGGCGCGATTCGCCCCATGCGCCAGGAGAAGGCCGACGCGATCCGCCAGAGAGCCGAGGATCTGCCTGAAAGCCGCAAGCGCGAGCTGAAGCTGAAGATGATTCTCGATTTTGGACTCCGTGTTGAGGGGAGCCCAATTTCAGGTGAGGGGTTGGTAGAAGTGCCCCATGTGTTCGTGTTTTGACATTTCTAGGCATGTCCTTGGAAATCACATGAACGGTTGTTTCCTCCAGACCCGCGATTTAGCAGGTTCCACTTGGCCATGGCTTAGGGTAACATCCATGTTGCCCATTGGAACGTATTGGGCATGGAGCCTGGTGTCCATTTTCGCACAAAAGGGAATTGGTATTCTTGGTGAAATAGTTGCCGTTGTTCTGAGTAGCTTGAGCATGGCGGAAAGCATGTTTGCCCGTCCCGAGGCAAGTACTCCTTGAGTTTTCCGCTGTTGGATGCATCTGCCATGGAACATGCTTGTTGCTGTTCAAGCAGTGGCCACTTCAAGTTGCACCTGGGCTTGGCTTTGCAAAAGCCCTGGTATTTTGTGTGCACTTGGCGAACTTGTCGAATCTCCTTCTGTTTTCGTATGCTCTCTCGCGAGTTGTTCTTTCTTGGACACATCTCATCACACCTCCCTTGGAACCCTGCCGCTAAAAAGCGGTGCTTCAGGGTGCAGCTGGTTGAGTTTCCCACCGAGTCGAACTAAAAGTGCTTTCTCTCAGACCGCCGAGAATGTGAACAACAATCACAAGTGTGCTTTTTATTGTTGTGCCGGTCGAAAAATAGATGGCGATTCCTGGTTGACCTGGTTGTTTCATCAATGGAAGTTCATCGCTGTTCATCCAAAAGGACACCTACTGTGGATGCAAGAATGCCTGCATCACTTTGAAACGCATGGGAACCCATTGTTGGGTATTTACAAAGGAGTATAGGGTTTCTGAAGGGTGGTGATTTTGAACTGGATTTCGTCCATCCTCATGACAGCCTAAATTCTCCGTCCGAGGCGGGACCCCGAAGGGAATCGACTTACTCCCTTGGGTTTCCGAAGGGTGCAGGATTTCGTCAGCCAGACAAGACTCCGAGCAGACTATCACCGTTCAGAAGCCCTAAAATGATTCGATTCCCCGGAAAAATACCCACACAGAATTGGCTTCCCATGGTTTCAAAGTGGTGCGAAATGGATTTTGTCCATCCACAGTAGGAGCCTGGAATTTGGATCCGATCAAGGGCAGACCAACGATAATGCGAGCATACGAGTGGATTCCAGCTACCACTATAATATAGTAAATTGTCGCTTTGGTTGTCAAAGGGTGGGCTCCCTTGAATACCTACTATACTGGCAAATGGATACCACTCCGCTCCGAGGCGGGACCCGGCAGTGCGGGGGAAGCTGAAGAAGCTCTGCGCGCGTTGGAAGGGCAGCGCTTTTCGGAGGCGCTGCTCCTTCGCGGTGCTGGACCGCCTGAAGCGCCTCGCTCTCGACGCCAGCGCCCAAATCCGGAGAGGAAATCCCCGGAGCCCCGCCCGGTTCGCGCGGGTTTTCTCTGCAGGTCAGGAGGGGGGGGTTAGAGAACCTTGTTTTTTTGGTTGGGGGATGTTGGGGGGGAGTGCATGCATGTGACATCCTCAAATTAACCTCTATTTAGGCGATTGACAGGGACACTACCGGGTCCGAAATCTTATTTATGCGCACCACCAGTCAACATGTTCCTCGTCGAAAAGGATGTTACTTGTTTTTGCTGGTTGATCTCGTTTGCAGTGGAAAGCCCAAGCAAGCGAACGAACAACAAACAAGCGAAAAACGATTGTGCAAACGAACACGCGATAAACACGCGAACAAACAAGCAACAGCTGAGGTAGTACTGGAAGCGGTACCTGTCCTGAGGTATTCCCATCTGCGGGGCACGCTGATCTACGCGCACGGCTCGGGTGGGTGCAGCTGGGACAACTTCCGGATTTGCCGCAGCCAGACTTCACTTTGCAATTTTGATCCTTGTGCCCTTTTGATTTTGGGTTTCCTTGATTTTCCCTTTCAACCAGGCAAACAGCAACTGACTTTTTGGCCCGTTTGCTTGTTTGGTCGTCCTTCATTGTTCCCCCGCGTTCCTGGACTTTACACTTTTGGGGGAGAAATCACTGAAAAAGCTATAACCTTCAACTTGTACCTGCTGTACCTGCCTGGCCCGTGAAAAATGCCTTTTGGGCCACGAGCGAGCCCTTACTGGGTCACGGCTCCCCATTTTTTTGCCCCGCAAAAACTTGGGGCCATGAGCCCATTTTTTGCGGGTGGGGACTCCACAGAACTGTCAGGCATGATCGCGGGCATGGGCATCCTGGTCATAGCCCCCGACGGCTTCGCGCGGGGGAGCCCAGCGCACGCTTGGTGAGTGGTGGACCTGGCGGGGCCTGGGTAGGGCCAGGCGGGGATCTTTTGCTGCGGTGATCTTGAACGGGGAAGCGCAGGGCGTTTTAAGTAAGACGCCTGTGCGGGTTCGCTGTTTCCTCCTGCACGTGCACAGGGTTCTTTTACACCAAAAACAGGTTGAACCGACCTTACCCCAACCGCCCAAAGTTTGCCTTCTTTCAATTGCTGCATTGTGGAGCCATCGTGGCAGAACTAAACTGAGTTATGAGTCATGTTTCCAAGGGCTGGCCAGTGGACCCAAAGTGGATGAGCTGGGCTTGTGGGGCTAACATAGAAGTCATTCGCCAAACCTTGCAGTGAGTTTTTCTCGGGGAAAGTCTGCTGAGAAAAGCGACCAGTTTCGCGGTGTGCGAGTTTGACGTTCCTCCTGCTAGACCTCCAGGGGTGCTGTGGAAAAAACGTTTCTGTGGAGGGGGTGCCCTCGAAAATCAACCAAAAAAGGAGGGCCTTCTTTTTCTTCCGGGGGCCTGGGTCCCAATAGAGCAAGACATTTTGTAGCATCTGCCCCACTCAAAGAGCACTCTGGGGGGTTGTCCAGTGTTTGAGGGATTTGATCCGCCCCCCAAAGCCCACCAAACCGACGGGGGGGTGATCTACGGATGCCCCTGCCATATATTGCAAGAACTCAGACGCTCCAATTCGATTTGTTTTGGGCCCTCCAGCCAGGTTTTGAGACCCCAAAACCCCTCTGGGGTGTCCAATGGAGGGTCTGGGTCTTCCATTGGAAGCCCGAGGAGTGTCTGAGAAACAACAAAAACGCCACATGGAAAGCTGGGTTTCTCTTGTTCCCTTGCAACATTTTAGGGCATCCAGCGTATATCTCCGTCTTGGTGGCTTGCAGCCCGGTTCCTTGTCCTGGATTCCGATTCCAAACGTTTTCCGCGGATCGGATCTAGGGCATCCGCCGCACATCACCCGCCTTTCCCCTCCCTTCCCTCGGCCGTGTTCGGATCGCTTTCGGATCGCTTCTGGGTCCCCCAGTGGTGCCCTTTCTCACCCTTTTTTGGTTGGGAGGGTTCCCCTACTAAAATAGACAGAAAGAGGTTGGTACCAACTTATTCTCACCTCTCAACTGGAGGGCCCACCCCCCCTCTCCCCCCCCAAACCTTTCCCCTCCCCCCTGCCGTTTTCGGCGCTCGCGGATCGCCCTTCTTCTAGCCTCTCTATTGGAGGACCTAGGCTTTTTTCGACCCCCCCTCCCCCGCGGCCGCTTTCGGCGCTTGGGGATCGCTTCATTTTCACCTCTCTACTGGAGGACCTCGGCTTTTTGTCTGAGGTATCCGAAGGAGTCCGCCATGGGTCAGATGCGGCACAAGGCGCTGGCGCCGTTGCACCTGGGCTCCGATGACGTGGACTACTGGGCCAACGACCTGCTGCACCTCGGGTCTTTTGGGGCGGAGCCGCGTGGTTTGTGGTTGTAATATGTGGGCCGAACCATGCCGAACCTGGACTATTGGGCAACGGATCTTTAAAGACTTTAACGTTTTGGTTGAAATAAAGGTGTTTTCCACTAAACCTTCCCAACAAGTTAAACTTTTTGCAGGGGGGTTAGCAGCGACCAAGTAAACAAGCCAGCGAAGTGGGATGCCTGGGACTTATGGGGTGGATGTCCACTTTGGGCTCACTCAGCTGGGGAGGGCAACAAGCGTAGGAACCTCATGCATGTCCCCTGGGGTGGTACATAACATCCCTAAACCTGAAATCCTGACAGTGCCCTTCGTTATGTCGTTGGAGGGGGTGTCCCTTTCAACTCAAGTGCCCAAAAGGGTGACTTGTTTTCCTATGGCCACAATGCCATGAGATGTCACCAGGCGGGAGAAAAAACACAGGATGGAATTTGCCCAGGAAACCGCAGTCAACTTCTCTGCAGTCAACTTTTTCCTGCGGTCATATTTGTCATTTTCCTGCAGTCCCCCTGTTCAACTCCCAATGCTTCCAACGTTCAGCACACCCCCCCCCCCCCCCGCCCCCTTGCAGATTGGCGTGGAACCGGTACTCTTTAGCGTGGAACCCAAAGAAGAAGGTACCCTTACAATGTTCATGAATCCACAAGCGCATTTCCGCGTTTCGTGTTTCATTTGCAGGCTGGTGGGCACTTGCCGCCATCTTGCGGGCTCTGAAAAAAATAAAAATGATAAAACAAATGGCAACCTCACCCATCAGGGAGTAAAACGAGCTGACCTTGTAGTTCGTTTACTGAGGCACTCGTTTGAAAATTAGATCCTTGGGAATGGGCCAGATCCTCCCCCCCTTGCCTTGCCATTTGCATCCGAGGTACACCTCTTCGGCGGGTGGAGTTTTCAACTACTCCACCAAGGCGGAGTCCGTCCTCAAAGAGACGCAGGAGTACAAGGACTAGGGGGTCAGTTCCCATCAATTCTCACTTTTTGGTGGCTATCAACATTCTGATTAAGATCCACTACCCACAAACTGCGTCTCTACCCTTGTTTTTGGTGGCGGTTTGGGGGTGGGCACCATCTTGGACACATCACCATCCTATTTACAGTGAGTTCCAGTAGGGGTGATGTTTTTTTTCTTTCTTGGAATATACGGGAGATCCTAGTTTTAGCCAATTTTGTAAACCATGGAGGGCCCAGAAGCTAAGGGTTTAGATGCGAGGGTGTTGGCTTATCATACTTTATTGCCCCCCATCGGTTGAACCCATTGAGGATGTCGCTGATTTCAGTTTGGGGGTAAATCATATACCACCCATTGTTCCGAGCCGTTCTTGATTCAAATCTCTGGCGCTTTGATATAAAAAACCGCCAGACTCTGGTAAACTTGGGGTTGGCACGGCCGGTGATGGGCCCAGCAGTAGGGATTTCACTATTGTAAATGTTCCTACATCAGGAAGGAGCCATGATCATGACCTGTGGCACATATTGTCAAGCCCGGATTCATCCGGGGGGTGAATTTCCTGGGTGGTGAAGGATGCTTTCTAAAAATGGGACGCCCGGTTAGGCTCACTTGCGCAAAGCTGGCCCTCTTGCCTTTTTTGGTTTCCCGGATTGGGCCTTCTTCTTTTTTTCTAGGTCCTTGCAATTGAGTAGCGATTTTCAACTGAATCCGGGGCTCGAGGACCTCTATGAGAAGTGCTACCAGCTCCGACGTTCTGAGCTGCACTTCACCATCGCCCGATTGCCTGCCTGGGTGCTTTCCCAGGCTCCGATGTTGAGTGGTCACCACACGACTCGCTGACCCTTGCTCCCACGAACATTCTGGCGGAAATTCCCCATCCAGATATTTTCTACAATTCCTCCGGAGACCCAAAAAAGGCGGCCAGTTTTTGAAAAGCACAATTGTTGACTAGGTCCCCCAGTAGTGCCCTTTTACCAACTTTTTTGGTTGGGAGGGTTCCCTTACCAAAATAGACTACAGAACATTGTTGGTACCCTTATTCTAACCTCTCCACTGGAGGACCTAGTTGAAAAGAATGCGGAATCAACCAACATGATTCTTGTGGGAGGGTGCCTGGAAGATCATTTTTCTCAAGGCATCCTCTGTCAGGTGCCATGTTACGCCATGTTACTCCAGGGAGTTTTGGACTCTAAAACTGTTTTTTTCCGATCGAGGGGAAGAAGCTTTGCAAAAAATAAACCCTTCTGAGAGGTCAACCTACCCTCACGAACTATTTTTAGAGCTTGCAACAAACACTTGTGTTTGGATTCCACCCTCTGAATCGATTCCCTTTCTTTTAAGTGGCTTCCCCGCCAAAAACTGTGGAACAGTACGTGCTTGCTGAGGGAGCCTCCAAAACGCTCTTTGTTTGCTGGCGTGCGAAACCAAACGCGGAATCAACCTGCCTGTCGATACACCCATCCAAAAAGGAAACGCCCATTCTGAGTTTGTCTCCAACAGCTAAGGGAACCCCAAAACTTGCAACGGTTTCCTTTGGAACAAACCAGCAGGAGGTCCCCCCCCCAATCTTCCAGTTGCTCGTTTTATGTTCCCCTGTTGGTGGTTTCAAGTAACATCGTGTTCAAGGGACTTCAGCAAATAGTCATGCGGCCCTGAATTGGTGGCTCGGACTGGTGGGGGGTTCAACCTCAGTTCCTCCGCCAAATTCGGGGAAGGTGGCCCCGAACCGGTCGAACCAGCTTAGGCTGGCTTCCCCTAGTCCGGCTTGGGGGGGGCGGCCGGGCGGCCGGTGGTTTGGAGCCCCGTGGTTTGGGGATTTGGTTTTCTCCTTGTGGGAAACCCTTCCATTTCCCGGTTTTTAAGGCGGTTTTTTGGCCCGGCGCCCGGCTTGGTTAGTATGGGAAACCCTTCCATTTCACAGACCGTTGAACCTCTAGTGCTTTTTGGGGTTAAGGGGAATTTTCGCCACCCAACCACCGATTCGGCTCCAAGCCAAACGAGGGAAACCACCGGGCTGCAGTGCTGCAGGGCTTCTTCCTGGGCGGCACCTCAGAGGGGGCCATGACGGTGGCCCGCTTCGACGACCAGAGGTGATCCCATGGCTCGCCTTGGTCGCCATGGAAGCGCTACCGTTGGCTCTAAACGGGGTTGGGTGTTGATTAAGCTAGAGACCTGAGATTGTTGGATGCAGATACAACTACACTGTTCATAGACATATATATATATATAGATGCAAGTGGATGATAGATCCTCATGTGTAACCTTGTATGCGGAAGAAAGCCTAACAGGAGCACCCAGTAATTTGGCCCAACCAGGGGTACGCTCTCAGGGGTGCACAACATCATAGCTCGGGCGTTTGCCGTGTGGTGCGAACTGACAGGTCCACTACACAAAATCCTGAGCTGTGTTGTTGTCAAACTGTTAACTTGTTGTTAGTGGAGACCTTCAGGATCTTAGTAACGACAACCAAAACAGCCCAGTTGTTTGTTATTCTTCTTCTTTTCTGGCCTGTTGTTTAAGTATTTCAGTTGATTGTTCCGATCACTGGAGTTTCATGCGATGTGTCCAACTCTGCAACCTTTCGGATGTCAATGTGTTTTGACCCAATCGGCCTGGCCAGGTATGGAGAGATGATCATCGGCCGCTTCATCAACTCCTTCAGCATTGAGTACTGCTACTTCACCCCCACTCCAGAAGCCGGACTGCTGGGTGGCCAGCTGCCCGGCGGACAAAGACTCTCGATCCCGGCTCAGTAGAAATGGAATTAAGGGGGGGAATTCCATACATACATAAACACATATGTATATAACATACAGATAGACATATAATTTCTAGGGATAAATTTCTTGGGTTGATCTAGATATGCATATGTATCAATCCCAACTCTGAGATGATAATGCAGGAGTGTGACCAAACAGCGTTGGGGATATTGCTTTCTGATATGACATATCTCCATCTACAAGTATGCATATGCACTGATGGTGTCCATATTCCCTTTCGTGGGGAAGACCTGCGGTGAATTTTGAACCGGCGCCCAGGTTGTGTCTTTCCGTAGGACAAATGTATTTCCTGAGGTACGCCCATGGGGAATTGACAAGGTTAAAAGAAACAATGGTTCTAATGAAAACCCAATGCCTTTGAATTGGTTCCAGTCTCCAGACTGAGGCTGGATGTGCCCACGCTGAACATCATCGGCAACAAGGATCAGTACTTTGGAGCGGAGGACCAGCACTGCTTCCGTTGCTTGGACCTACCAAGACGGAAAAAGAACCATCACATTTTTCGTGGCAGACGAGTTTTTAGTTTTTCTTTGGCTTCAGCTCACGAAGAGAGAAAGGCAGGCTTTGGATCTGATAGGATGTTGAAAGGGGGTGAACGCCGGGAATCCAGAGTTCCAGAATTATTTGTCATGGCCAATTCAGGGTCAAGACCCAGCATGGCTCCCAAGATTGGTGTTGCCTGTTTCGCATGAAAAGAAATTTAGAAGCGAGTGGCAACTCATTTCTGGAAGCTCCCCTTTGTAGATGAGGTTGAAGCCAGGTCGGCCCGGCCAGGACAGCATCGCCAAGGTTGTGGCGGAGCACGGATCCGGCGCCAAGTCCGAATCTACGGCACGTAGTAGGTTCCAGTGGGCGAAGAAGCCATGCCCCCTTGGGTGTGGATCAAAATAAAGCCACCAGCAAACCGCCGGTTTTAGTCTTTGGTTCCATGTACCAGGGTTCCATTTTGGGTACCTATTTTTGACCCACAGCCACTTGGTTTTTTTCTGGGAGATGCACTCTTGGCGAGGCATTGTACATTGAGAGTCTCGAGCAAGAAAGGCAAGCGGTGGGCCAAATTTCAGGGCAGTGGCAAATGGAGGGCGTCGAAATTGACCCCAGAGCTGCCTTGCAGGGTTCTGCGCCTGGCAAGTGTGGGAGCAACCGGTGTGGGAATGTGAAAGGGTTTGCGGCAGCCCAAAGCCAAGAACCGATGTTTGCCAGGGGTAGATAAATATATATATATATATATGGATATTTATATGTATAGAGAGAGAGAGAGAGAGAGAGAGATGTATATATATATATGGAGACACATCGGCCTAGAACGCACATGCTACATACAGCTTGGACTGATTGTAGCAGTACCAAGCACAGCGTCAACGGAAGCCAGCATTGCGAGACATCAGGGCTGTTCAGGATTGTTTCAGTCCTGAAGCTTGTTTACAATGCGGCGTTCCATGCGCTTCCCTTCCCAAAACACATTGGAACTCAGCAGCCACTGTAGCAAGCCGCTCACAACTGAACGGAGCGGTTTGGCAGCAAGCTTGCCCCCCAATTTTGCAGCAACCTTGACACCAGGAGTGGGCCTCGAAGAATGTAAGGAAAAGACCTGGACCAAAGAGAACGAACCAGTTCGCTCGGTGTATATACCCTTCAAGCTCTGCATTCGCCCGCCTTTGTTATAAGCCACGCGTTCCTTTGAAGGAGCTTCAAGGGAACGCCGAATTAGCTTGACAACATCAAACATGGGCAACTCCGAAGGTTGCAATTTGTTTGGGCCAACATCTCCCGAAAACGGCGCCCTCAACAAGGCACCGCGCCCTTGACGCGATCGCATGGGCCGACGGGCCGAGGTTATGGTGACAAGAACCTCACCGGCAACGGCTTCAACACCATGGTCCGACAGGGCTTAGAGAACGGCCTAGTCCTTTGGTTGAGTGAAGACGAGGCCGTATTTCCGCAAACCATGAAGCTCCTAGCGGGGGCTGTTCAGACAAATTACCTTCCATTTGGTTAATAATAGGGTTTTATTTTCCCCTGTTGGCTTTAAAGGGAATCTATCACTACTGGAAATATATATTTTTCCAGGGGACCTAAGCCATGGAGGTTACCCGGTAAACGGTTACCCTATTGAAAACAGGAGTATTCTTGGGTCCGTGCCAAATTTGTCTTTAAGAACTGAGGTTCCTGTTGGTGTTTGAGGAGCGCAGGTAGACAAATACACGGGCAGCTTAGAACGAGGCAGGTTGTGGGCCGAGAAGTGGTCGCTCAAGGCAACTTGATGCAAACAAAAAAGCTACGCAGACCAGTTTGCACCCACCATGCTTCTGCAGTTGGACTCCTTACAAGCAATCAGACTTCCTGCCATGGACATGGCAACTAGACCAGTTGGCGCTTGATTTCAATGGGAGCCTTCAAACAAGGCCCCAGTAGAGGTTTGGGGCAAGCGTTTGCTGGCTCAACCGTAACCCTTTTGAAAGGAACCTTGAGGCCAAAGCCTCACAGTGGCACTTGGTTTTTGGCCCGGTGGCTTCCCCACTTTAAACTCACTTCCTGAGCTCATGAGCTTCAAACCGTTTGGGAAGACCAATTGAGTGGTAAATATATGTAAATATAGAGCTTGACAAAAACAAATGGCCATCCACTCAATGAGCAAATGCTTCTCTGTGCCTCCTATGCTGGCTGGCGGGCGGGCTGGTGTTGCTCACTGAGGTCTGTGTCTTGGAAGATGGGGTGCACTCACCCTGCAACACCCACGACAACTTCCTGCGCCAGCTCTTTAACACCTTCTTCTCCCGCGCGGGGTCCATTTGGGAATTGCACATGTGCCTCGGTCCAAAGACCCTTCTGACCTGGGGCTGGAATGTTCATGAACTTCAGGGTTTTTTAGGCAACCAGTGGGGTACAACTAGCTCACTGCAAGGTGGGATCCTATATTTCAGCTGTTTGCTCAAAAACCGGTTTACTTGGGTTTGTGGGGGTCAACCTGCTAGGGGCTTCAGATGTTGACCATGACATTCCCCATGTTCACCAAAAGGGCCCCAACGAACAAACGTACTCTCAGACGAAGCACCCACCCGCACACCCGCATGAAGGCAGACACCTCCAGAACACTGGCTCAAGGTTCGGATCGCAAACGAGCAGGAACTGGACCACTTGCAACTCCGCGGAAACGGGTTGCAAAACGGGCTCGGTTTTCCAATCAGCCAGACATATTCCGAGGGTTTTGCGATATTTAAGGCAAATTGGAGAATATTTGACGATTTGCTTTGGATTATCCTATCAGCTCGGATGTTTTCCCGTTACTTTTGGTTGATTCGAAGAAGTTGTTTTGAAGATGTGAGGATTTGGGAAGCAGATCCGCTACTGAAGTCCTTGGTGCAGCTGGTGGAGGCGACGGATCACAGGGGTAAAGCCCCTTGGCTCGGTTTGCTTCTACCATCTCCATTCCCCAAAGCGAATCGACCGGATCTGGCCTTTTTGGTCCGTAGTCAAGGTCCCAAAAAGTAGAAACGTGTTTATGTTCAGGTGCAATCCAAAGGGCCCGAAACGCGGCCTGAATAAGGTGCATCGGGCTCTATATGTGCCCCTTGAGAGACTACGATGAAATGTTCTTAAGAATGATTGTTCTTGTTGCTGCTTTTTGGACATTGTTCCAAGTCAGACCTTAACAAGATGGCCGAACCACCTTCCGTTCCGGGCTGGTATTTTCGCCCGTGTGCCAAAAGGGTCGGAGAAGCTCCATAGTTCACCAAGAAACTTCTGGTAGGTTTTACTTTTCCATTAGATGTAGAGACCTTCAGACCTCGGGCAAACCTTCCCGGAAAGGTTCTTAGACAATCTAGGACCTTGGTCTGGGTGACCTGGTGTGCTCGCGGTTTTTTGGGGAGATTGGGGGCACTTACCATCTCGGAAACCGTTGGTGGTTTGGATTTTATGGTTTGGGGCTTGGAACCCCTGGCTCTTGTAGAGGCTAATTGCACAAGCTCCCCGCGAACTTCCAAACCACCAAACCAATTCGGGGGCTGACATCCCGTTTGCCTCAGAGTTGCTTGTGGATCTGCAAGCGTTTCGCCGCGCTTTCGGGCGAGTTGCTGTGAGATTCCTCGCTTGCCCGCGGAACTTGTCCAGTTCGTGCTCTCGGGGATGCTGATTGGCAACGAAAAAGTCCTGACCACAGGTGTCCTTTTTAGGTTAGTGTGGTCAGTGGAGACGTTGGCGAAGTCAGGTTGATGTTAAGAAGAATCCCGAGTAGCATCGAGTAGCCTTTTAAGACTTCCCTGGGATTCCTCGCACATTTTCTAAATGAGGGTGGCTCAAAATTAAACAGGAGGGGTTACGCAGGTTTTGGTCCATGTTTCCACTTACCAGGGCAACCCGTTTTGGCACCGGTTTTTTGAGCCACAGCCAAATGTTATTTGGGTTTCGGGACGTTTTTCCCGAAGCTTTTTCCGGACGTGCTCTTGAGTTCCTCTCCCGGGTGCTTCAGCACGTGCCGCTGCAGAGGGCCCCCCAAATGTGCTTTGGATCCAACACATGCGCTTTATACAGAAGACCGTTTTTTTTTTTGTTTTTTGGTTTTTAATATATAGATATATATATATATATGTGCTTATTGCACGGAGCTCCTTGCCGTTTAGCACAAGGAAACGACCATTTTGGGTACGCCCAGCCGGATGTAGGAACTGCACGAGTTGAGGTGCAGGATAAATGACTTGAAAGCATTGACTTGGAACCTGTTTGCAACCTTTTGACACACCCATTTGGCCTTCTTCCATGTTACTAACCAAACAAAAAATGTGCTCTAGCTGCACCAGTTTTCGGGACTTGGGAACTCGCTTCGGCAGCTTGCCGATGCCGAGGCATGCCCAGCACCCGAAACAGGGTCCCCCCCCAGATGAATCAGTGGCTCGTGCGTGACCCTAAGGCAAGGCGTTGTTTCTTCTGGAGAGTGTCTTCCACTGGCAGGTATGACCCTAGGGGAACCAAAGGAACGAACCAATTTGTGCGTATGAGAAGCCGATGCGTGTCGCGATTCAGGTCACGCACCTCTTCGTCCCGAAGATGGTCTATCCCCAGCGCATGACTCTCCGTGAGATCGAGACACTGCGAGCGCTCCACGCCACTGATGAACTCGACGCAGCAATGAAGCCACTCGCAGAGAATTTGTTCAGGATTCCGAGACTTCCAAATCCCATTTCTCCCCCAAACGTTTGTCTTCCACTCCAATTCTTGCATTTCAAACCAGCATAAGCCCATACCCCCGCCTTTCCCCTTCAAAGTCTGTTTTCTCCAAGATAGGACTCGCACGGTATCGGCCTAAGGCCAAGGAAAAAAAAGGAGCCAGTAAAAACTGAGCTGCGCCGTGGCCGATTCTGTAAGCGGAAGGCTAAACAGTTTCCGTCTGAGACTGAAAGAATTGATGCTCGATGTTGAATCGGGGAGGGGGGGGGCTTCCGGGCTTCCTTGCTTTCATCCCATCGAAGAAGGAGCTACCCATCCCAGCTTGAAATTTCTGGCAGTTTCTGGCAACCATGTTTTTGACGACTTGGGGAAGTTTCGGGATGAATGGAATTGGGGGTGGCTTGATCCCCACCGCCCCCGAGGTGGGGAAGATTGGCAAAGTCACTTACGTGTCTCCTGGTGTGTTTGCTGCAGCTTGTTCTTTCCGTTTGCTTGTCCCTTTTTGCACCAGGGTGTATGCTGGATATGTGCAGGCCCTCTACAACCCCTGGTAGTTCTGTGGCACCCTAGGGCCTAGGGCCCCTTGTGTCCTGGTTGCCAGCGGGCCCAACGCGGGTGCATTGGAAACCCACCCACGCAGCAGTCGATTGAGTCACGGACCGCCAGAATTTAGACAAGGCTTCTTTCGGGAACCATGGCCATGGCCATTGCGATCTTTCGAGCTTCAGGCTTCCCCAGAATGAGTTCCCCTTCTTAATGTGTTTTGGTTGTTTGTGTTTTTTGGGGTCCCCGGTATTTTCGCATGAACCGGGCAAAAATCTAGTTTCTGCTGTGGTCACAATTCCAGCCACGCAGGAAAGAGCAGACCATCATCGAGGCGGAGAGGGGGGAGATCAAGGAGCAGCTGGCGCGCTGCCGCACAGAGGCCGAGAAGAGTCCCCGCGCGAAAGCCAGTGAGACGAAGAATTTCTACGCAGGAGCCTTGACACGATGCTCGAAACCCTGCCCGACTTCGCTGGCCTTGTTTGGCTTTCCTGAGAGCTTGTGCCAAGCAAACGGTTGAGTAAGCTTCCTTTTAGGGTGTCTAAGTGTGGCCCCGAAAAGACTCGTTGCCAGTTGGTAGGGACACGCGCGGAGCTCTAAATAAGGAAGCTACACAGGCATAGTCAGGTTCAGGGAGCCATCAGGGCCCCAAGGAGTTAAGATTTCATGCTGTGAGTCTTTGCGTGGAGACCACATTGCTCAGGAGACAAGCTGGACAGCAGGAAGAAGTGGGAAGACTGGGTCAGGCTGCATTCCAGCCAGACACGCGCGAATTCGGCTCAGTAGGTTGACTCACGAGCCCCGAGTTCATGGACTTTTCAACTTTTTGGGATGACAATTTTAGTTTTCATACAACTAGTTCAGATTTTGTTTGGCCAATCCACTCAGGAAGTGAGTTGATTGCGGAACGCTTGCACCTGGGGCTAAATTTGCCCTCCGCGACGATTGATTGGTTTCTTTGAGATGAGGGTCTCAAAGTTCGAGTGATTTTTGCTGATAATTTTGGAATGGATGCAAAGCATCGAGCTGGACCGCTGAAGCTTACCGCCCCTAGCGGGTTAGGTCAATGGACCCAGGTACTGCCGTGACAGAGAGTTGGAGAAGGAGGCCTAAATAATTACAATGAGGAATAATGTACTTTGCTGAGTCAAGAAGCTCGTCAGAGAGGGAGAGAGAGAGAGAGAGAGAGAAAAAATAATAATTATGTACTTTCAAGGCAAAAGCTCATCAGAAGAGAAGCAGGTGTGTCAGTATTCACTCCTTATAGTCCCTGTTTGCGTACCTGAAACTTTCAGACTCACGGGCGGGGCCGAATCCGGCCTGGCCAGCCACGTCACAAAAAAGAAAGAAAGAAATGACCCGGAACAACCGGGGGCGATTGTGCCGAAGTGGGTCGAGCCAGCTGCTAGATCCCCCAGTAGTGCCCTTTGACCCTTTTTTGGTTGGGAGGGTTCCCCTACTAAAATCGACCACGGAAAAAAGGGTACCCTTATTCTAACCTCTCTACTGGAGGACCTAGGCTGCAATGACTCCCCTCGGTTTCGTTCAGACAGACGCCGATTCGTCAACGCCTGCCGTTTTGAAGCAGCGTGAGGAGGCGCGAAGGAGCGCACGCGGACGGCGGAAAATGCGCCTGGCAAGGAATCTTCAGTTCTTTGGCCATTGTGCTCCTTTTTCCGTGCCGTTCCCCAAAACCAACGGTCAACCCCAAAAAGGTGGCAGGCTGGCTTCGTTGGTTTACCACTCGGCAGCCGGGGTTGACTTAGACCGGGGGCTGGGGCGTTTGGAGCCCCAGCACTGCCCTGGGGTGCATGGGAAAATCGGGAAACACGACTGAATGGCCACAGCAAGGGGGGTAAATTCCCAACTGCGTTGTGTGTGTGTGTGAAAGCCCGCTTGGAGAAAGCGATCAGTTTGTCGACGCCATGTACTCCGCACTTCCTGAGTTCATGAACTTCAAACCTTTTTGTAAGACCATTTCAGTGGCATACCAAAAAAAGTTCAGGCTCCCTTTTTTTGGTCCATCCACTCGTCCGGAAGTGAGACTCCAAGCCCGGAGAAGTTTGGTGTCTTCCCTTCGAGGCGATGAAGCCGCTGGAGAAGTGCGAGTCCTTCTTCTCGAGCAAGATGGCCGCGTGGAGCCCGGCACGCTTGGCTTTGACGACCCGGCCAGACCGGGTGACCGGGGACGTTTTTGTTTGGTTTGTAGGCTGTTCTCCTTTTTTTCTCCCGGTGGCTTCCGTATTCATGTCCGGCAAGTGGTGAGGGGTGAGGGGGTTGGGTGCCCGTGTACCCTCAAGTTCCAGAGTTGTTTGACAAGGTAGGAATTGCTATGTGATACCTAGAGTCTCCATGACCCCTAGGAAAGGGGGTCATAACCCCTTCATTTTTGGTAATGACCCCATTCTTAAGGAGTCATGGAGACTCTAGGTAGGCGTAGCTTTCCCATAGCCACAAGTTTGGGTTGAGGAGGAGGAGTCCTTTGTGAATCACTGGTTGCACTCATCGTCCCTTGGCCCCACCACTGACAAGGTCAACCCCACACATGGCAACCGTTTGCAGCATGAAGCACTGCGACGGTGCGCCAGGTTCTTGAGCGAGCCGGGCAGCAAGCACTTGGTGAAGGAGGACGAGGTGCGCCTCCGGTTCCTCCAAATGAGTCCAAATAGCCTTGAAAGAGGGACAATAGCCCTAACCCTCCCCGAACCTTCATTTGGATTCCTCCAAATGGGTCCAAATAACCCGGAAAGAGGGACATCGTGAATACCCCCAACCCTCCCCTACCTCCAAATGGGTCGCCCTCCAATTCCTCCAAATGGGTATGGGCCAAAATTAAGCAGGTTTTAGTACATGTTTCCATTTACAACCCATGTTGGGTACATATTTTTGACCCACAACCACATGGGTCCAAATGGTGAAAGAGGGACATCCCCAAGCTGAAGGTCACCTTGCAGTGAGATACCTTCTAGTTGCCTAAGATTTTGTTTTTCGGTTCTACGGGTTTAAACGGGATACTGCTGTATGTTTTCCAAGGGAATCTTGTGTGTTTCATGGAAACCAACCTTAAAACGATACCCTCAAGTCGGGGTTCACTTTGTGGCTCGGTGGCTTTTGGGTAAGGCCTTCCTTGTATCAGGCTTGGATTCGAGCTTGAAGTTGTTCTTCCGGAGGCCTCGATTTTGGGGGTGGGGAGGGCAGGGTGTGAGTGTGTGAGAGTGTGTGTGTTGGCTTCAAATTGCCCCCTCTCGATTTCTGGTGTCAAGACGGCAATTTACAGGGGGGTTCATGCGTGAAACACTCCGGGCTGCTTTTGGGGCAGAGTCATGTGACCGTCGACATCTTGCCAAGTCCCCCAACGGAGGCAGGGCTGTTGGCTTCTGTTGGCTGAGGCCCATGCACAGCAGTTCTGGCTCCAGAAAACCACCCAAGAACACCGGGGGGCGAACTGCGGGTTTTTTGCAAGGAGCGCTACGAACGGGTAATCAACCCGACAGCTGAAATGCCAAAGGCTTGCTTTCTTTCTGGCTGTCATGCTTTCTTGGGCCCTTTGGAGTCCCAGCAAAGGAGGGGTGTCTTCCGAATGAAAGGGGCAAATTCCCGCCGCCCTTCATTTCCTTTCTGGGAACAAGAAGATTCATGGAGGGGGGCGCCTAACCTCGTTTTTCACAATTAGGGATGGGATCCCCAGTCTTGAAGACAGAGTCACGTGCCCTTCAATTGATGCAGTTGCTACAAAGGAGGGGTGGGGAGGGGGGTGGAATAATAGCTTCCCCATGCTGAAGGCTTCAGGACGCCCAAGACACGAAAGATGCCATGGCTGCCATTGGGCTCCCATCACTTCCAGAGTCGTGTCTGGATAAAACTCATCTTGGTGGTCAACAACGTTGACCTTGTGCCCCTTGTAAAGGTGCAATGGGCAATCCCACGGCGCGAAAGCACGCACAGCGTAAAGCCTGTGTGATTTTCTCGCCGGGTTCAAAGGCAAAGATCGGGCATTGGTGGTTCGGATTTCTGGCCTGGCCGGTGAAGTCTTGGTTGCTATTTAAAGTGAACGAGGCGCCACCCCCTAGCCACATCACCGTTTCTCCAATTGAGGGTAGGCCGAACATGGACATGGCTGCGGACCAATCTACACCAAGCTCTACCGCCCCTCAGAAACAAATTTGCATCTTGGCAGACGGCGCCGGTGCGTGCAAGATGGTCCAAAAGGGGCCTGCTCCACTGAAAGGTGTGGCTCATGAGCACAGTATTTTTGACTCCTAGACACTCCGCTACTACGACATCACCGCAAAGGGCCCAAGTGCCTTGCCAAAGAGTCCCTTGACAAAATGACGCTGGCCGGTGGGGACAATGCTGCTGAAGGCATGTTTGGAATTTGGGACAACAGCAGCGAGTTCAGAACGCAATACATTTGGCACCCTTTAGACACACCGACTCCCAACGAAGACATACCCATTTATACCTGAACATCATTTTTTAAGATAAAGCTTTTGGAAAGCTTTCCAGCGACTAGTTGGCAGGTCGCCAGGCAATCTTTAAGGGGGATTTGTTCGAGGTCCGCCTTCTTTAGGCATCCCCAGAAAGTTTGACCCTGGTAATGTACGCTTATTGAACAGCCCCCACAGTGTTTCCGCTTTGGAGGTGTTCTAGCTTCTCGGCCGCCTTGAAGTAAGTGTTTTGGTGCAGAGGATGTAGGGATCTCCGTTTGGGATCTTTGGGACTGGAGTCGGATCTCCTTTTGAACCAAACGCGCGACACGCCCCGAAGGTTTTGAGACCAAACGCCTCGAGCGTCCCCTGGCGGGGTCTGCGTTTTCCATCGAAATGCTCAGGAGCCTTTGGATACCTAAAAAAGAACACTTCTACCAAATTTTCTCCAGGGGGAGCTTCTTCCAGGGGCTCGAATCTTGTCAAACCCTCAAAAACCCAGGTTGGAAGCCACTGGCTTGTGAGAAAGAACGATGCTTGAAGAGAATGGATGGAGAGAGAACCCCCCGTACCATGCCAACGTGTCATTCCAGAACTCCTGGTCCTTGGCTCCCTCCCACATCGGCAGTGCTTGTATTAAAAGTCCATCCGGTAGAAATATGAGCGGTTCCAACGATGGTAGACTGAACGGCAGGGTCTCCACAAATGAACCTAACTGATGAATTAGCAACAATGTTTCTCATATCAAAAGATGAAAACGCACTAACATATAATCTTCCGGAGCGAACTGGCCAAAAAGCCTCCGAAGTTTCACAGGTCTCCTTAAAAGATACATTTTGCAACCATTTGAAACATGTTGCTTTTTCAACACCAAAATAAAAGGGTTTCCCACCATTTACAAGTTGCAATGTTCAGGTGTTTTCTTGTAAGGATCCCGGTTCAGCCATGAATTGTGGTTGGTTCACTTGCAATATGGGGAACGGGGCATCCACTGTAAGCTAAGCACGAGGTACCCTTCCGGAGTGCACAACCTAAGAAACCCTAAAATGATGATTCCCCTGCAAAATACCAACACACAATGGTTTCAACCATGGTTTCAAGGTGATGCGAAATGGATTTCGCAACCATCCACAGTCTCACTTCCCGAGTGAACTGGGCAAAAGAAAAGTCCCGCCGAGCACCTTCCAGGAGAACTTCGACCCCCGGGCCGCTGCGCGTGCCCTGGCCATGGAGAGCCGGACGCCCCGGAAGGAGTCGCCTAAGGAGGGGCGTACCCAGAAACCCATGGGAATTGGTTCATATCACTTCCCGAGTTCCGTTTGGGGCTTGATATATATATATATATATATATATCATGTTTTTTGGGTGTGCACCA